TATATATATATATATATATATATATATATATACATATGGAAGAAGGAGAAAAACCACAGCTCAACAACAAAGCAGCTATTCAATTGAGTCGCGCACCGACGTTGTTACCCGCAGGACGCGCACGCCAAGCCACAGACGACAGCAGGAGTCACACAACTTCCTTCCACTGACAGCTCTTCTCCTGTACGGTGTGAAGAGATGAAGCCAATTACACAGCGAAACAACGGAAACTATTAGGGGGGGGGGGGGCAGCAGCACCGAGAGACAGATGCTCAGAGAAATATGCCGCAGACAAAAGGGTGAGTGATCGCACTCCTTTGGAAATCAATTCAGCTGTAATGCTCTTTTTGGTGAATTAAGGAAGAGAACAAAACAAAACAAAAGAAAGTGCTTATTGTGTTGTGGATGCCCGGTTTGTGAAGCGACAAGTCCGCACGCGGGTTCCTGTCGGGGTGAGCGCTTTGATAGATGCGTTTCGGGGGGTGCAACGTGCCGTGAAGGCAACTCCTTCTTGCTTTTCTTTGCTTCCACTAGGTGCGAAATCGCCGCTTGTTCTCCTTTCTACTGATATTTACTCTCGCTTTCACAGGCTTCGAGCAGGTGTGCTCGAGCACCGTTGCGGCACCGCGGCAGAAGATACAGAAGACAAGAAAAGGAAAAAGAAGGGAGGAGGAACACGTGGAAAGGGAGTGCGAGAACAACAACCACAAAAATAAACGTGCTGGGCGCCGCAGCGGCATCTGCGCAGGCGAAAGGAGTCGTGCTTAAAGAAACTCAAAAGCCTCCGCGGAAGGTGGAGCTCACCGCAACGCGGCGCTTTGCGACACCAAATGGAAAAAAGAAGGAGAGGACATTCGCAAGGCTTGCGAGGCGCTCTATTTAACTAGTGTTGCTACCGTTGATGAAGGGCTGTGCTTGCAGAGAGCAAACATATATATATATATATATATGTCATTTAATGGATTCGCAGTCCAGACTTTTCTCTCTACTACTGTGTGCGATACGCTTCACAGTGGCGGTAAACGCTTTCGCGAAGGAACCGCAATACCGGCTCTGGCTATAAACATGAACATAATACAAAGAAGGCAAATCGAATAGGCGGCACAACGCCGCGATGCTCTTCACACATACACGAATAGAAACAAAAAAAGAACACCCCAAGGAAATACACGGACATCAGTGAAGAAACTCTATGTGTACCGACCATCACCACAGCAACAATCCTCGTTGGCACGCAGACAACGACACGGGAAGCAGCAAGCACGCGGCCCTCAGAAAAGAAAAAAGGAGAAAAAGATAGAGGGAAGTAATCCTCTTACTGTGCCGCGAGATCAGGGTTCACGATCGTCCTCATCATTGTCTCCATCGCCGCGTCATTGGCCAGGATGGTCTGACGCAGGTTGTTTGTCTTCTGCATCTGATCGCTGATCGCGTCCTCTAAATTTTGAAGATTTGCGTGTATCTCCTGGAGACTCTCCTCCGTCTGTCGGCGGGCCTCCGATGCAGCGAGGGCCTGACTGCGCGACTCGCTGCGCCACATCTCCAGCTCGCGCGTCATACTGTCGATGTCGTCGTGGATCGCCTCTAAGAACTTACCGAGCGGGTTCGACGCCTTGGTCAGCATTTGCAGCTGCTCCCGCAGTTGATTCAAATCGCTGTCGCTCAGCGCGTGCGAGCCGCCACCGCGGGAGACGGTGCTGCGGCTGTTGTGGATCACGATACCGTCGTGCGTCGGTGACGCGGCCGCTGCCGACGCGGCGCCGCTGCCGCCGTCGTCGCCGGTCACCCCACGCGCCGCCGCCTCCTGCTCGCGCTTCGCCTTCAGCGCCTGCTGCCCGAGCAGCCCCTTCACCTCGGCATCCTCGGCGACCGCCGCGGTGCGCACCGCCGGCTTCGCCGCGTACTGCGCCGCCACCTTCTGCCAGTCCTGCGCGTCGTCGTCGTCGTCGCCGTCGCTGCCGGCGGTGCGGTCGCCGCTGCGTTTTTTTTCCCTCACGGATGACCCCCGCCGCCGGCGTGGCGTCCGCCGCCCGCTGCGCCTCGATGACCTCGTGGGTCGGCTTCGTGCGCGGTGGGGCCTTGCGCGCACTGGTCGTCGTGTTCCCGCCTGCTGCCGCTGCCGCCGCCGCTGCGGAAGGAGACTCCGCGGAAGAGGCAGAGGCCTCCGCTGCGGCCGCCACGGCACCGGCGGTGTCCCTCTCCCGCTTCTTCTCCTCTCGCCGCTGTCGCCGCTCCGCATCGGCGTCCTTCGCGGCCTCATCACCGCCGACGGCCGGCGCGGCCTCCGCTGCTGCCGCTGCTTTGGCGGCCTTTTCCTTCTCCTTTTCCTTCTCCCGCTTCTTCTCCTCGTGGCGCCGACGGCGCTCCTCCTCGTGGCGCTTCTGCCGCTCCTCTTCGCTCTCCTGCGCCGGCGCGTTGGCCGCCGGTTTGGGTGAGGCAGGGGCCTTTGCGGTTGGTGCCGGTGCCGCCGGTGCCACCGGTGCTGCCAGTGGCTCCGCCCCGCCGCCTTTCACCTTCTGGACGGCAGCCTGCTTCTTCGCTGCGGAAAGCCCGGCACAGGCGGCGAGGTCCTGCAGGAGTTCATTCGTTTTCTCGGGCTCCTCGCCGGCCGCGATCTTCGCGGCGCGCGCCGACACTGGCTTGCCGGTTCCCGCGCCCACTACGGCGATGAGCAGCTCTAGAAAGGCTAACTTCGCCTTTTTGTCGGACACCTTCGCGCTGTCGAGTTGATCGTCCGAGAAGAGGTGCTCGGGAAAGCTGCCAGCCTTCAGCACCGCCAACACGATGTCGTGGATGAAGCGGAAGGGAGGGCGACTGAGGAGCTTCTCGGTGAGCTTGGGGGCCTGAATAACAGCCCCTAGCTCACTCTGGGTCTTCTTGATGACGTCCTCCATTGGTGGGGAGTGCTGCGGAGATGCCGTGTCTGTCCACCGTAGTCCGACGTGGGCGTAAGGCGCTCTCTCAGCGGACGCTTTCTTGTGTGGAAGTGCAAGGTGCGAGTTGGGCTAGCAGCGCCGCGAAAAGAGTGGCAAAGTTCACGGGAGATCCAAGATGTCCTGGGACTCTGCGGGAAAGGCCAGATTATTATTATTATTATTATTAGGTAGATGGGATAGAAGCAGGAAGATGGAGAAGAGAAGGCACACGACGCAGCGCTGCATCGACTGCAGCACCAATGTACCCATGCCCCTCCGCACAGGCGAAGACGCCGGTCGCGGGTTGGAGGGGTCTCGTCAGTGGTGCGTGCAACACGCCGTGTCAGGGGAAGACAAACCTCTCTAACACTTGAGTCAATAAAACTCTTTTTTAATGTAAGTTGACGACGGTGAATAAGCAAAAAACAAAAGGTCCAGCCATGCAGAGGAGTGGTCAAATGTGCGGCGACAGACTCCGCGCTCTCTGCATTGCGGTGTGGGAGCATCTAAGTGTATAGAAAAGAAAAAAGGAAAGAGGAAGATGGAAACGGCTGTAGATCTCTGATCATGTGTTCGCTTCGGCCACTCTCCCTCTCTCTGTGTGTGTATGTGTGTGCAAGGACTGCCTGCGGGCCTCATGACGTACGTGCTGTGCATTTTACGCTGGGGCAGACGGTGCCGCAGGCTTCTGCACGTCCACCTCCGTCCACCCAAGCGCGCGCAGCACGCGTATCCACGCCTCGTCGCCGCTGTAGTGATGCACCACGTCGTCGAGGAACAAGCTCTTCGCGTTCGCCAGCACCGCCGAGAGGGCCCTGGCAACTTCCTCCGATGATTTACAGCACGCGGCGCAGGCGCTGCAGGCCGGGGATGGTGCTTCGAGTGGTGGCGGCGGCGGTGGTGATGACAGCCCCGACCGCGCCGAGGAAAACGGCGGTCCTCTCTTCCCAGCCGCGCCGCTTGCATTTGCGAGGCGGGAAGACAAAGCCGAAGTGGAAGAGGGGGAAGAAGAAAGGGCGCCTCGTGACGAATAGGGAGCGGCGGCGGCGGCGGTGGTGCCTACAAGGCGCGTTGCAGCGAGCGCAGAAGCGCCTGTGCGTAGCGGCTCCTTCCCTGGCATAGAGGCGGCACGGTGAACGCTGTTCGACGCTAGAAACGGTTTCGCTGCCACGCGTGACACGAAGTAAGCGTTCGTGCCGAAGGAGAGAGAGAGAGAGACAAAGAAGGGGGGTAAGTGTGCTGCGGTTACGGCAGACTGAAAGAGGAAAGCGATGGGCGACGCGGTGTCGACTCAGATGAAAAGAAAAGAACGCGTTACAGCGGAAAGCAGCGGACACCAGCGGAGGACGTTTGTCTGCGCGGCTGCGTGTCGTTCGCAATGTCTATTTTCTGTTGTTTTTTTTCTCAAGAACCAGCAGCAGCGCCTTCGTTTCCTTCGCAAGTATTTCCTTGGTTTCGGCGTGTTGATTGGACTAAAGCTGGTAATGTGTGAGAACCAACGAAAAGCAAGTACGCCCACCCACCCACACCGTCACACACACACACAGTCACACACTGCATCACGAATTCGGGTCCGTGTAGGGACGCAGACGCTTAAAGTTGCTGTCGATCATTTTGGTGAAGGCGCTGCGAAACTGCACTCTCCACGCCTCCTCGTCCGCGGCGTACCGGAGAATTAAATCGCGGTACGTCCTGTTCTTCAACAGCTCCACCTCCGCCTTGTTGAAGACGCACTGCCGCTTCTTTGTCTTCCCGTCCACCTTCTCCTTCGCGTAGGTGCACACCAGCGTTTGCGGGAGCTCCTTCAACTCCTTGTTGTCCTGCGAACGCTCAATCTTCAGCGGGGTAAACTCCTTTTCGTGCTCCAGCAGGAATTGATAGTAACGGTTGCTCAGCGTGTACCGCTGACCCACGTGTGTGGCGCCCTCGATCCCGCTCACGTCCTCGTGGAACTCACCGACGCTGTGGCAGGCGAGAAGTGCCACACACTCCGCCTCCGTCAGACCGCCCAGCGAGTGCAGGACGGTGACGATGGAGAACGTCTTCTGGTTCGGGTCCTTCGCGACGTTGCGGGCGGGGGCTGCATCGGTGTCGTTGCGGCCCCACCGCCACTCCTCCAGCACCGTCTCATACGGACCGTTTAAGTACTTCACCCCCGCAATCGCCGCCAGCGACGCGATGTCCTCGGTGGAAGCATGAAAGGTGTTGGACAGGTAGTTCATCACTCCGGCGATGTCGCCCAATCCACGCACGACGGCGCACGACTCGTCCACCGTGGCGGCGGGAAAACCGGCCCGACGCGCCGCCAGCACGAAGGCGACGCGAATACTCGTTGCCGCCAAATCCGGGCGAAACTCGAACTGCTTACACGCCGCCGCCACGACGTCCTCGCGCGAGAACTTCGGCTTAATCTTCGACTCGTCCACCTCGACGAAGTGCCCGGCGAGCCAGCCGGCGCAGAGGCAGCCGAGGCACATCAGAATGAGCCACGTGTGATTGATGTGCTCCCACGACTTGAAGGGATTTGCCACCTCCGTCTCCTTGCGGCCGGCCCCGACGTTGGGTGGGGCGGTGAACATGTTGTGGTGTTTGCGCGGTGCACCGTGTGTTGCCGTGGGGCTGCCAGCGGCAGCAGATGAGGTGGAGCTACCCGTGAGACGCTGCGCCATGAACAGCGGGGAGAAGGAGGCGACGCGCCGGCCAGGCAGCCGGGCTGCCGTGACGACCAGCTGCCGGCCACCGCCCACTAACCACGCAGCGCGAAGCATACGGTTCCTTATTTTACTGTCCCTAAAGGACCTCCAATTCGTACTTGCTGACGTGCAGAAATGATTATGAGGCGCGGTTAAAAGAGATAAAAGAGAATTCAAAGGAAGGGAGAAATGATGTGGCCGAGTTGGGCGTAGCCGGCCTGCAGAAATCATCACTCGAGGCGGAGCGAGCGAGTCCGCCTCGATTATGAACCTTTTTTTTGTTTGTTTTAGTGTACCTCACCCACTGCGTCAACGCCTGTGTGTGTGTGTGTGTGTGGTGGCGTCTCCCACGTGAAATTGCCTTCTGCTTTTCCGCAGCGCTCACGATGCCACTGACTTCATCTTTCCATCTCGTCTTGTACAGCGCGAACGAAACAGCCACTGCACGAGTGCAGGAGGGGAAGAGGGAGGAGAGCACGTTGCTTTGAAAAAGGAAAAGGCGCAAGGGAAAAATCAAAAACCGAGTTGTGCTTTCGCAATCAGTTTATTGCACGAACACACACACAGGGGCAGCGATCGAATCAACGCCGTACTTTTCTTTCCGCTTAGCTCGCCGATGCTTTGCGGCGACCCACGGCTTTAAAGAAGTCGTCACAGACGTCGAGGATTTCGTTCAGCCGCTCATCAGACTCACCCTTCGAGGATACATCCATCAAATCCTCCATCTGCTCCGAGAACTTGCGCACCGTCGTCAGACAATACTTCCGCAGCAGGTCAGGCTGGTCCATGTCGAGCAGCGCATCCACCACGCCGGCCCACGCGTCCAGCACGTCTTCCGACGCGGAGTTCAGCACGTCTTGCACCTGCGCCATCACCGGAGGCATCTTCTGCATGTGGCGTGCGAGCGCGACGTTCTCGCACTCGAGCTGCACGCGGATTAGCACGGTCAAGAAGCTATGGGTGGTGCCGAGGGTGTTGTCGACTTGCCGCAGCAGCGGAATCGAGAAGCGGGTGTGCTCGGCGAGCGCGTCGAGGTCGTTGGTGATCTTTGCCGCCGCGGCGTGGATGCGATCCACCACGGCGAAGAGGACGGACTCCACCTCCCGCACGCCCGGGAAGAGCGCAAAGGCCTCGATGTACTGCACCGCCGCCCAAAAGAACGTCACGTAGTTCGAGTCCGCCGTCAGGCAGTGGAGGAAGAGCAGCAGCGGCTTCAAAGCGACCCAGCCGAACATGCCCGGCAGGTTCTTCTGGATGCACCGCTCTTGGTAGCTGTTCACGATGGTGATCACCGCCGGATAGTCCTCCACCCCGAGACGCTGGATGTGCAGCTGCGTCACGATGGCGTCCTTCGCGGCGTTCATGTCGCGGTAGAAGCGATCGACGAAGCGACGCGCCGGGCGGCTTTGAATGCCCATCGTCACGGACGGCTCCTGCGCAGCGCTCATGGCGGCCCGCAGCAGCTTGTATGAGACGCCGCTCTCGGTGCCGTCTGTGCGAAGCTGCGACAGCAGAAAAAGCACGAACTTCTCGCCCTCCGCGTAGCTCCTGCGGAGAAGAAGTCGGATGATCAACCCCACGGCCTCCACGTCGATCAGGTCGGATATGCCGGGGTGGGTCACGATGAGCCCCAGCGCACTCCGCACGCCCACCATGACCTGGTCCACATCCTCGGAGTCCAGCACGCGGTGCAGCAGCACATTTAACCGCAGCGCCTCCAGCAACTGCACATCCGCCGGGTTCGGCTTGTCGACGGACCGAATGCGGTTCAAGGCAGTCGTAGTCGATAAGTGCGAGGAGCAGTGCAACACGCTCGCTTCGTACTGCTGACGGATCGCCTCGTACGACCACCCGTTGGACTCCAACACCTGCGCGAAGTCGCTCTCTTCCTCCGCGGCGTCGTGCAGCTGACGCACCGCAGCCGCGTAATCGTACGGCGGCACACGCACGACGTCGATGTGCGAGACGAGCTGCATCGCCAGCCCGGTCTGGTGCAGCGCCAGCCGCCGACTCGCGCACCGCGACAGCATCCGGTACGCGCTGCTCAGTTGGCGAAGGTAAAGGAAGCCGCACGCATCCTGCTCCTCCTTGCGGAAGGCGGCCTCGTCCACTGGCGACGTCGCCGCCACCGCCTCCACCTCCGCGCGTGCCTTCGTATCGTTCTCCGCCTCGTCGTAGTTCAAGCCCGGTGCGAGGCCCATCAACGCCTCGGACTGCAGCCCGGTCATGGACAGCTCCCCGCCAACGGTCAGCGCCACCGCCCGCTGCTCCGTGTACGTCTCCGTCATCGCCAGGTCAGACATGGGCAGCGAGTACTGCGCCCGGCCAACGCAGAAGGACGGCGGGCAGCGCAGATTCCACACCGCGACGGACCCGTCCGAGCCCGCCGTCGTCAGCAAGTCGGCGTTGTGCCGCCACCACCGCAGCCGCACGGCGTCCCCTTGCAGCGTGGTCACCACCGACACCGCCCGGGCGGGGTAGCGGGCGTCGTACACGGCGAAGGCGCCGTCGGAGCCGGTCAGCGCCAGCAACGCGGGGAGAAGCGGGTTGAAGTCCGCGCCGTGCGCCACGACCGGCAGGCCGCCGGCACGACGCGACGGCAGTGCGACGGCGTTGCCATCGCTGGAGCTGCGCGCGTCCACGAGCATCACGCTGCCGTCGTAGGTGCCGCTGAGCACCACAGACGCGCTCGACGGGGCCCACGTCGCAAAAGTGACGGGCGTCGCCGCGTCGGACTGCGTGTGCGGGCTCCACTGCTGGACGGGCATCGGTCCCCCGGCGAGATCCCAGATGTACGCCGACGTGCCCTTGACAGCCAACACGCTGTTCTTTGCCTCCCTGTTGACCGACACGCAGCGGACGGAGGTGGAGGCGGCCGGCGCGCTTGGAGAAACGGTGAGCTGCGACACAGCTGGCTCGGCGGGTCCAGTGAGCAACGCCCCTGACGGTGCAAGCAGCCCACTGCTTTCTCGGCAGCTCTCGGCGGTGACGTCGCACACCAAGACGCGGCCCCGGCTGGAGCCTAGAAACAGCAAATCATCGCACCACGCCACCGCGGAGGTGCGCGCGTCGTCCGCCAGGTCGAGCCACCGCATGCGCGGCACGGCGCTTAGCGAGGGCACGGACTCTTCGAGTGGCAGGAGGCCCACCGCGCTCGACCCGGTCAGGGGGCACAGAGCAAGCGCCGCCGCGTTCTCGCTGTTGTGCAGCGCGATTTGAGCAGAGCCGAAGAGGACGCCCGGGGCGGCGAGGGGGACGGAGCTCATGACGAGGTCGGCATGGTTGCTGAGGAGGCCGCGGAGTTGGTCCCGCTTCCGCCACGACGAGGCAGAGACGTAGTCGTGCAAATTCACAATACTCTGCTCCATATTTTGCTTTGCTTGCTTGTTTGCTCCGGCTGAACCGCCGTTGTAAAGTGAGGCGTACCAACGTTTAACGAGATAAATAAAAAGAGAAGGAAAAAAGGTCTTCGTTGTTTGAGTGGCTATGTGTTGCAGGAAGTTTCGTGAGAGTTAGAGACAAATACGGAGCTTCAGCACGGCCGTCTTAATCTATCGTCTTGTGTGCTCTACTTTCCAGTGTGCGGGGAAGGCTCATGCAGAGACCCGATCGTTCGCAAAGCATTAGACATGGGGTGCGCCCCCACCAAAAAGAAAAAAAAACCTGAGTACGATATGCAGCGCGGCACTCTGCCGATTCACAGCCGCGATCGTCGTACAGAAGACAGGAGAGAAAGTGTGAGAAGCGGAAGCGCGAGAGGGAGACCAGCTGGAACTTACGGAGAAGTGAATGACTGAAGTGGCATAACTCGGCATGTTCTGCTTCGCTCCTCCTTACTCCTTTTCGTTGTTGCAACATCATACGTGGTCTTCTGTTTCCAGTCGCACTCCGTCTGGAACGGAGAAAGAGCCGGCGGACTGCGCTTTCTTACACTGCTGTGCTGCCGCTGAGTGACCGCCGATGTTCCTCCTGCGATAAGCGGCACAGGCGGCATCGAGTTTACTGCTCGTGCGATTTTTTTTCGTTTTACTTCTCTCTTTTTTAGTTTTCTGGGAAGCTCATCGCCCCACTCGCGCCAGGCGGAGACAACGCGGAGAGAAAATAATAATATTAATAAATACCGTCGTGGGTAAAAGGAAAAGACGAGATGACTTCAGCGCCGCATACAAAAGAAAATACTATATATATATTGGCAAAGAAGTTCAACGGAGAGAACCGAAGCGTAGGAGGAGATTGCGACTCCCACAGAACAGTCGGCGTGTCACCTTCACCCGAGAGAAAGGACAACACACACCTCTTTCTTTTACGGAGGGCACAGAGTCTGATGACATTCGATGATGAAAGAAAAGAAAGAGATGGTTCGCGGTGAATGAAGCCGTTTAGACGCGACAAGACGTGGAAGCAATTCCTCTTCAGCAACTCCATCATTTTTTTCCTTTCTTTTCAGGAACTCTCACAAAAAAATAGGTAAATAAAACTGTTTACTGCACGCATTGCGTGAAAGGCAGTGCCTCGGTGCGGGTGGTGGGGGAGGGCGTGTCATTTGTGCTGTCTCTCGCTTGGCCCTACGCGGAGAAGAAGGCGAGGGCGGGTTTGTCCCCAAGTTTCCTTCGCGGCATTCAACTCCCTAGTAGGTCCATTCACACACAGCAGCGACACAACATACATACATATATATAAACATCGCTAGGACACCTCAAGCCTTTTTTAATTGCTGTAGTGAAGAGCTCCAGGGAACCTCCGAACAGTTTCTAAACAAGGTGGGGGAAGCGTAGCATGTATAGATGCAGAACGATCACGTACAGGTCCTTCGACTCCTCCCCGCACAACTTTAGCCTTCAAACAAACAAACAAAAGAGAGAGAAATCAAACATCGATTCGGGTGAATCCGTTTTTCTTGTTTTTTTTTTTGTAAAGCATCAAGGTTTAAACACACTTGATAGTAAAAGTCAAAAAACAAAAAGTGAACTTTCGCTACAAAACCCCCGTTCGTTCTCCTGATCGTTGGCGACTTGTTTTTCATTTCGTATTTATTGGTGTTTTTCTTTTAGTTGTTCCTGCTGACTTGCGTGCCCCATCGGTGTGACAGCAGGCTCATTTGCTCCGTTTTTCCCTTTATTTCTTTAACTTAAATTCATCTACTTTTCTTTTACTTTGCGCCGTTCGTCGAGGAAGAAAAAAAGGAAGGTCTTTGCTCAATGAAACCACAGGAGCTAAATAATAAACAGAAGAAATAAAAATAGAGAATGCAGTGAACACTGCTGCTGCTGCTGCTTCCCGTGCAGGTGTGTAATGGATCTTCATCTCCTCTCGCGGTACAAAATGGGCTATACTTTCTTTCGGGGAGCAAGTCGCACCGCTTGCTCCCCGAAAGAAACGGCGGAAACGGAGAACAGAGATGAAAACCAACACCCAGCTTTTTTTCTTTACAACAGGGAAGAGAACTCTTTTTAAAAGCACACGCATTCCTTTAGAAGAGAATCAGAAGAGAAGCAAACAAACAAACAAAGCACCGATAGGTGTCATTTAACCATTCTTTACCGCTTAAGAGTCTAATAGTAGTTCATAACGAAGAAAAGAAAAAAAAAGAGAAGAAAAAAAGATTGAGGGGAAAAAGTTCTTTTTGTGGCTGGAGATTTCAGCTGAGCGCGAAGGGCGGGTTTGTCCCCAAGTTTCCCTTCTATCGCGTAACTAGAAAATAAAAAGTGAAGATGAACAAACGTCGTACAGTAAATATATATTGCTTGTGTGTGTGTATCTGTTATGCCTGTGAAAACAAACGACGTCATACACTTTCCTTGCTATTATATATATATATATATATAATATATTTCTCATTTCCTTTTTTCATCTGTGATTGTGTGCCAAACACACACACACACACGCAACCCGATCTGCGAGCGAAGCTAAGCGAACATCGTTGGCCTGCGGTCTCTTAGCACACGACGAAACGCACCATTTACTTTTTGCCGTTGTGCGCAACTGCGCTCGTTCCCGCTGGGGAATGAAACCTGTGAAGCGCAAAAGACAACAACTAAAAACGGCGGATACGAAAACAGACGAATCGAAGCAGCACAGAGCCCGACGAGACAAGGATTCACCGCAGAGCCACGAATCGGAAGAAAGGAGAAAAAAATCTTCACTTGAAGTAGGTTTTCTTATCGTTTTCGTACAGCGTCGTGCGTGCATATCGAAAGAGAAAAAAGGATATATTTTGATATATATATATATATATATATATATATGTGCACCGCAACGACTCAAACAGCGTGTTCTTATCTTCGTGTCTTTCATGTTCACCGCCTTCGCGTCTTTTTTCTGATCTGCTGCTCGCTGCATCCTCTGCGTGCTTTAGCGCGTGTGATCGCATCGCCCACGCTAAAGGGTTCGACGAACGCAAAGAGCAACGAAGAAGAGCAGCGAGCAGCGGATCAGAAAGAAGACGCACAAGCACACCGAGACAGACACAATCCTCCCCCACGCAGGAGTCCTTGCGGATCTGTGTGTGTGTGTGCGTAGGTGCGTTATCTGGGCGCTGGTGCATGACCCATCACGTTCGGTGTTTCCCCCTTCGCTGCCTTACAGCCCCTCCTGCAGCTCGACAAACTCGCCTTCGGAGGACCGCTCGGCGGCCTTCTCCTCCGATTGCTTCCGCACGCGCGCAACGTAGCGCGCGTAGCGCACGTGCACGAGAGCCGCGAAGATCAGGCCCGCAGCGGCGAGGCAGGTGGAGACGATGAAAGGGACTTGGATGCAAACCGCCGTATTGCACTCCTGCGCCGCGCTGAGGCCCAGCTGGCGGTGCTTCATGTCCACGTACATGCCGAAGAGGAGCCGATTGAAGCAGATCACGCAGATCACCGTCACCATGAAGCCCATGTTGTACAGCGTGTTGTGGAACCGCTCGAAGAGGCAGGTGAAGATGAGCGCCTGGAGGGCGGCGTTGAAGCCGTTCGTGATGTACACGAGAATGTAAGGCAGCAGGATCACCTTGCCCGGCAGCACCAGCAGCAGCACACCGCCGACGGTGGCGATGACAGGGCACACAAACAGAGCCGTGGTCACGAGCAGCTTGCCGCCGCGACCGCGCTGGTACTGGACGTAGGCCTCAAACAAACCGAACGCCATGCGGCCGACGCTGTTGCCGAGACCAAGGAAGGCGGTGTAGAGAGCGGAGGTCTGCGCACTGCGGGCCTCGCCGGTCTTGGCGATCGAGACGGTGCTGCCGTTGTACGAGACCATGATGCCGATGGGTGCGATGCAGAACATGTAAAGCAGGATGAACCACAAGTCGGGTGACTTGATGTAGTCCATCACGGTGGTGCCCTGGTAGCGCGGATCTTGGCGGGCGTAGCGGTCCTTCTCTGCCTCCTCCTCCGTCCCCGGCGCCGCCACTGGCTCCGAGTTGGTGGGAGAGTCGCCCTGCGCGGCCACCGCTGCCGCCACCACGGCCGGCTTGTTCAGCGTCACCTCGCTCTCGACCGCTCCGTCATCGCTCGACGTCTCGCGGGGTGTGGCGTAGAGCTGCGCGATCGCACGAACTTCTTCGTCTGTCGGCGCCGGCTCGTCGATGCCGCCGAGGCAGCGCAGGGGGAGCACCATCAGGAAGAGGCACAGCGTCAGCATGACCGCGATGACGCCGATGCCAATCTCACTGCCGCGCGAAACGCTGTGGACAAACGACACGATGGGCGTCTCAATGGTGAAGAAGAGAATCATCGTGATGACCACCGCGTAGCCGACGGCGAGGCGGCGCATCGGGACGGACTTGTGGTGGTACAACGGCTTGGTCGCCGCCAACTCCGCCACCTCCTCCAGGTCCTTGTTGCGCAGACGCCACCAGTTCATGTAGTACGGCGGCAGGACAATCACAAATCCCGCGCACACCGTCACGACGGCGATGACGGCGCAAAGGAAGTAAATGAAGCCGACGATGTCGTCCTTGAAGAAGGTCGTGCTGAGGCAGGCAAAGATCGTGCTGCCCAGACCCGTCATCACCTTCGCCAGGCACACTACCGGGCCACGGTTACGCGGGAAAATCTCGAACAATGTCGACACGTATGTCGTGTCGATCAGGCCGCTGGCGGTGTTGAGGAAGGCGTAGAAGACGGTGATGGTGGCGGTGTTGCCGGGGATCTTGCCGGTGAAGGTCAGGGCGAGACACACAGTGCCGATCACACCCGTCACAAGGCAGATGACAAAGTTGAGGAACGGGCCCATGGTCTCGAAGATGAGGCTGTACGGAAGGAGGAAGTAGCAGAAGACGAGCCCGACCGTGCTCACCGTCGAGAGGTCACCGGCGGAGAGCTGGAACTGATCGCGGAACTGCGTCGTGAAAAGGTCATACGCGTACGTCAGGGACACACAGATACCGCAAAAAAGCCCACAGACGAGGATGGCAAACCTATTCACCTCGCTCACCGGGTGCAAGCCACGCTCCTTGCGCGCACGCACGGCGCGGGTCTGCGAGAACCAATCCGAGACGAGCATCATTGCGGCAGCCCACACTCAAGAGAAAAGGCAAAGCTGTCTTGTGGAGGTACTTGCAAAAAGCGAGGACGAGAAGAGGACAAAGGCGTGCTTGAGGATCGTACCGAAAACCACGAAGAAAATGGCTGTTTGTTTGTTTGTTTTCCTTTCAAAGAAGATAATGCGAGAGAAAAAAAGAAGTAGCTTACGAGCCTTTAAAACTTAACTGCGGGGATGAAGGAGAACGGGCCGTTTTAGGCCGCGTGTGTGCGCAGCAGAGAGGAGGGGGGGGGGGGCAAAGGAAGAAGGAAGAGAGGGAGGAGGAGGTTGATGGATGGCTTCATGTATTCGTCGCCTTTCAGTTTCGCTTACTCAGGTGGGCTATCGACAAAGCAGACACCCTGCTCCCTACGCAAATGCCGACGTCACGGTGGTGGTGGTCACGCGCTGATGCGACCTTTTCGTACGGTTCTGTGGAGCCGATCAGCAAAAAAAAGAGAAACAAAAACCAGCAGTCTGCATGAATCACCCGTAGCCACGACTACAGAAACCCGTGTGGTATTCCCCCCTGCAGAGAGCACAGGGAGGACAGGCGCGGATCACGACATCAATCAGAATTTCAACGAAAGCGTAAAGACGAAAAGACAATTAGATGCAACCGCGCGTAAAAGAAAAGGGAAAAGGGTAATTCTTTTTGATCACCGCTGCGAATAGCCATATATCGATATACGCATATATGAGAAATCTGGAGTACTATCCCGTGCAGACCGACGCGTAACTCTGGCACTTTGGTGTGTCCGATGCCAAGACGACGCTGAACCAGCTGTTTTACTTCGTTTCTCCTACTGACCCCTCACTGGGCACGCATGCCTGTATTTCATACGCTCAACGTGCTCCCTGCGATCGTGCGTTGATAAAAGGCCGACGGACACCCGCAACACCGACGGAGAGTCGCACCGACATCGGCACCTCGACAAGAAAAGCGCAGAGCCTACGCCACGTCAAAGAGTAAAGGAAAAGTGCGAAGTCAGAACACAAGGGGAAAGAAGAAAACGACACGGCGGATGAATATATAGCCTTTCATGTCATCTCGACGCTTTAGTAGCGCGTTCTGAGCTGTCACGGCGTGTGTGTGTGTGGCCCTCTTCCTCACGTACACAAACGCGCATACACAACCGGACATGCAAACCGCATAAGCACGTCAAGTACGTGTCAGAAGAAGGCCCAGGTGTGTTTTCCATTTCCTTTCCTTCTATCTGTTGTTTTTTCTTCTTACCTGTAGTGATCGCTTCGGCGTTGTAGCAGCAGCATTCCGCAGGCGGGAAAGCGGCGCGTGTTTATCGCTACGGAAAAACAAAGTCAAAGAAGAGGCATTGTAGCTAATCTTTTGCTGTTCATTTACAGTAATTAGTAAGAAACTTTTAATACAAAATAATGTGTACAACACGAATGGATCGCTCTCGAAGGACACTTCCTTCCACATCTTATTTCTTTTTTGTTTATAATCTCTGCTCTCGGTGTTTCACTTTCCTGGAGAAACACGAAAGAAGCGCTGGAGAAAAAGAAAAAGAAGGCACCGTGCCGGGCAATCACATTTTTCTTTCTTTTGGCTCACGTGAGCCGCTCCACTCTCCGCTGCCCGGTCGCACTCGTACAGCGTTTCCCCCGTGCCTTTTCCTTTCCTTATGTCTCTCTGTTGCTCGTTTTGCGGGGACGCAAACGCATGCTTGACCTTTGCCGCCTCGTGCGTCGGTGCTATACGAGACGTGGTGCGGTGCGGTGCACAAGCGCGGCGAGTAGAGACGAAGGGAGAGAGAGGAGGGGCCGCCACCACGGCGGAGTAAACACCGACGAGCCGACAAGAACAGCGGACGAGCACATCACGTTAAACGAAAACATTGGGAAGGGCCACGTGATTAAAACAAGATGGAAAAAACACTCACAAGAACAAAAGCAAAGTTAAATAAACGGGGAAAACAAAGAAAGGTGAGGAGGGGGGTTACGCACTTGTTTCTTCTGTCGGTGACATTCAAACTTTCAAACAAAAAGGGAAAAAAGAACAATAGGAATATATATATATATATGTACTTGTCTTACAGGGAAAAGAGAACGAAGGACGATGAAGAACAGTCACACAGCAAGTTTGCCCCGCGGCGAAGGACGAGCACCGTCTTTTTATTTTCTCTCTTTAAGTCCATGTTGGTGTGCAGACGGCGACTAGTAGGAAGAAGAAAAAGCAAGAGAAAATAACAGAACATAACAGACAATAACTGAAAACCGCAGGGGGGTGGATCTGCGAAGGTGCCAGCGAGGAGTAATTGTACTTACGTATTCCGCATGTTTCAGTGAAACGGGTAAGGCCACAACGGGGCGTCTCTGACGAAAGAAGGTAGCCCGGTGGTCTGCAGGTCTTTTGCTGAATGCGCGTTGCACTTGTCCCCTTACGACCTCGTAGGCGCGCTTCGTACCCAGCTGTGCGCGCGGCATCCATGAAAGCAAAAAAAGAAAGAGAAGAGAGCAAACTAAATCACCGTAATAGATACGGCACGGATCGAAATACGCATTCTCACACGCTGGACAGAGGTAATGGAAAGAGACGTTGACGCGCTACTCCAGGCACTCTTCAGGCTTGGCGGACACGGCGGCCTCCGCCTCCATCCGGGCCTTCTTCACACGCGCGCGCTCGCGGTGCACAAACGCGGCGTAGCGGAAGTGAATGGCTAAGGCCACGAAGATGCCACAGAACCCCAGCACGGTGCCTACAATCAGCGGGGTACGCACGCATGACTTCACCGTGCAGTCTTGATCGAGCGGGATGCCGAGGCGCCGCTGCTCCTTGTTGATCGAGCGGCCGAACATGCCGAGGTTGAAGGAGATGATGGTGCACATCTGCACCAGGAAGCTGATGTTGTACAGGAAGTTGTGGTTGCTCTCGAAGAGGCAAGGGAAGATAAGGGCATTGACGCCGGCGAAGACGCCCTCCTCGAGGTACACGAGAATGAAGGGGAACAGCACGGCCTCACCGGGCAGCACCAGCAAGAAGAGACCGCCCAGGAAGGAGAGCAGCGGGGAAAAGGGCAGCGCCATCGTGACAAGGAATCGGCGGTTCTCGGGGTCCTGGTGCTGGACGTAGGCCTCGAACAGGCCAAAGCCAATGCGGCCCACGCTGCTGCCGACGCCGAGGAAGGCGGTGTAAAGCGCGGAGAGCTGCCCGCTGCGCTGCTTGCCGGTCAGGGCAACAGAAATAGTGGAGGAGTTGTACATGACGAGGATACCCATGCAGCCGTAGCACACAAAGAGGAGTATGATGAGCCACAGGTCGAGCGATTTGAGGTAGTCCCAAATGGTGCCCTTGTAGCGCGGGTCCTGGTACGTGTAGTCCTCCTCGACGGCCTCTACCGACTCGCTCGAGCTGTTGTGCTCCGGGTGCACGCCCATGAAGGGCTCCCCGCTGCCGGCCTGCGGCGAGCTCTCGTCGTTGTTACTCGTGCGCATCTCAATCACGCCCATCTCTTCGTTGTAGCCCTTGTTGACCTCACCCGCCTCCGCCGAGCGGCGACGCGACACGGAGTCCGAGTCTTCGAGCATTTCAAGCTCCGGTGCCGGGTCGTTCATGCCGCCGAGGCAGCGCAGAGGCAGCAGCATCAGAAAGATGCTCAGCGTCAGCACGATTGTCACGGCGCCAATTGCCATCTTCGCGCCGTGCGAAACGTTGTTCATGTAGGCGAGCACAGGTGCCTCTACCGTGAAGAAGACCAGTAGGCTGATCACGACAGTGTAGCCGATGATCAGGCGCGGCAGCGGCACGAACTTACTGTCGTAGTACACCACGGTGGACTGCAGGGCTGCGATCTGCGCCTTCGTCTTGCCTTGGCGACGCCACCAGTTCACCAGATACGGCGGCAGAACCATGACGAAGCTGGCCCAGATGCTCACCGCGATGCACAACGCCATGATGAAGTAGATGAACCCCGTGATGGTATTCTCGAAGACGGTGTCGCTCAGCGCCGCCAGTACGGAGCTGCCCAGACCCGTCATCACCTTCGCCAGGCACACCACCGGACCACGGTTACGCGGGAAGACCTCGAAGAGCGTTGACACGTAGCTCGTGTCGATCAGGCCGCTCGCCGCATTCAGAAAGGCGTAGAAGACGGTGATGGTGGCGGTGTTGCCGGCGATGTGGCCGTTGAACACAGCTACGAGACCGACACCGCCGATCGTTGCGGCGATGGCGCACATCCAGAAGGTAAGAAAAGGGCCCAAATTCTCAAAGATGAAGCTGTACGGAATCGTAAAGTAGCAGAAGACCAATCCGACCGTGCTGATGGTCGTCAAATCACTCGAGGACAAGTTGAACTGACTTCGGAACTGCGTCGTGAAGAGATCGAATGCGTACGTCAGGGACACGCACACACTGCAGAAGTAGCAGCACACGAGGAGGTGGAAGCGGCTCAACTCGCACACGGGGTGGAGGCCTCTGCGCTTGCGCTCCTCCAGCTGGCGGGTCTGCGAGAAGATGGGCTTCGCCGCCTTCTTGATTCCTTGAATCAACGAAGCCCCGCACCCACGGGATTCGGAGGACGACGACATCGTTGGAGAAGAGAAGAAGGGCTTTCCTTTTTTTATGATTTGCACTGTGCGGTTGTGTCTATTTGTTTTATTTATCCTCAATTCTTCTTTTCCCTTTAAATTTTGCTGGGTAGCAGAAAACAAGAAACAAGTTTGGCCGTCGGAACAGAAGGAGTACTGAATTATTTATTATCACTAAATTGGTTTTTCCTTGTTATGTTCTTCTGCGATGTGTGTGAGGACGATGAAGATACCACGAGAAAGAAAGAAGGAGGCGAACAACAATAGCAAAGGAGAGAGGTGGATGGAGGGAGGCGGTTGCACGGCGTGACCGCAGGCACCCTGGGTGAGCATCACCCCTGCAAGACGCGGGGAAAGAAGACCACGTTGTGCAGTCTTCGTGTGCGCCTTTCTCAGCGCTGCGACAGCGCCACTGAAGCGGACGTGTACGCCGCGTGGGCATACGGGCTGGTACAAACGCTCGCATTGATCAAAAGAACCGATACTGCAGGAGACACTGTTCGCCTGATTGGTTTCCATTGAAAAGTGCAGAGAAGAGGAAAATACGAAAGCTGCCTGGGAGGGAGGGAGAAAAACAGAAACAAGCAGCTATTTGGGTGCAATGCGACGCGGCCACACACACACACACATACGGAACCAAAAGACTCTACTACATAAATAAATGAGAGAAATAACAGTGTGCTAAAGAAAAATAAAGCGCGCTTATACATTTTCTTCTTCCTTTTCAACAGGCGACCAGTCCTTTAACGCGTCGTGTGTCGCTACGGTGATTCCCTCTCAGGTCCCCGCAACAACACACAGGAAGAAAGCGCTGAATGCAAACACCGTTGGCAAAGAAAAGATCTGCGCCAAAGACGGTGTAAGAGAGTAAAAGCAGAAGCACAACCGTTCAAGTGAAATGTAAGCGAGCGTGGCGCTAAATCGTACACCAAGCGCAACGTAAGAAGAGAGTAAACAAGGACAGTAGCGCTCGCACAGTGGACAAGAAGATAAAGTGGAGAATAGCATGGTGGGGATCACCGCGACACAAACAGCTCTTTTCGCCTTTAATATGTGAAGATCAACGACAGAAACCAAAGCTGAACGGCGAAAACTCCGCTACAAAATACCGTCACACGCGCGAAAAAAAAAAAATGAAATGAAAGAAAAGAAAGAAAACAGTGACGTACAACCGCACGCGGACGCCAGCTTTGGTTCATCCCCTGACGTCAAATAAAATCAAAAGAGAGAACACCACAAGATTCTGTGATGGACACCTTTTCTCCCTCTTCCCGCTCAAACCGCACCCGCCCCCCTCGTACATCAAAAACCCCGCACGCTCTCCCCTTCGTGGCTGCTATTGCCGCTTCCGCCTCTTCAACAACTCCGGCGTGCGGGAGACGGCGACGCTGCGTTCGGCACGGATGGTGCGCATGAGCTCGTGGATCGCCTTACTCACCACGTACCGCGCGTGCGCACAGAAGACACCAAAGGACGCAGCGGCCAGAGGCAGCAGACTGAGGCCGCGAAACTCGCTCGTGAGCAGCGAGATGGGGAAGAGCATCGCGAGGAAGAGACACAGGCCAATCGCGAGGTCTTTGATGCGGCGCAGTGAATAGAAATCGAGCAAAAAGACCAGCGTGAGCACGCCGAGGCTGACGACCACCGGCACCCCGCCCAGCAGAATGTAGATGCGGTGGCCGTACTGCACGTACTGCAGCGCGCAGAACGAGGCGGCGGCGAACAGAAACGGGAACCCGTTCGGGATGTTCAGCATGACAAACTGGAATCCCTCTCGCACGTTCACGCTAGTCATCTGATACTGCAGCTGCTCCTTCGCCGCCGGCATGATGTAGATGAGCGCGTACAGCTGCCACAGACAAAACGAGAGGATGACGGTGGTGCCGCACCACAGCCACGAGAAGCGGCGCTCCCGCGCCAGGTTGATTTGCACCAGCAAGGTCGGTATGATCACGTCGCAGATCCCGAGCATGATGGTGACCGCAGAGGCGGCAATCAGCAGTTTGTTGCGGCGCAGGCGCAGCAGCAGCGGTTGCGGCTCAAAGTGCGTCTGCATGACCACGTTGGAGACGATGATGGCCACAATGCACGTGTACGCGAGCCACAGCAGGCTGAAGACGGTTGTCGTCGTGCACAGCCCCCACACATCGTACCCCTCCGACACGCACATCGCCGTCGTGATCGCCATCGAGACGGAGAGCAGCGTGACGGAGAGAAAGAAGTGCAGCACCACGCTCCGGCGACTCTGCACGTAGTTGTAGTACTGCTGGCTTTCGCGGTAGCGCCGCACCTTCTCTATCGTCTTGTGCAGCACAAGTCTCGACGGGGCGGGCAGGGGCTGCAGAGGGTCGTACTGCACAACGCACTGCTCCTCTGCGCCAAGCAAGCGCATGCGATTGACGAGCTCCTGACTCGCTGCGTCGTACGGCGCCGTGCAGTGCAGACGCACCACGAGGGGGTACACCACGCACACACGCTTCGCCACGTACTCCCACAGAACCGGGTGCTGGCACAGCTCATACCACTGCCGGCTCACCGAAGAGAAGACGCCGATCCAGCGGAAGTCGTTGTCGTCGTTGCTAATAACATCGATGAAAATGTTGATTAGGAGCTCACGTGGCAGCCGCTGGATGCAGGAGACGGTAGAAGCGGCACCGAGTCCGCGGGAGTGATCGACCTCATCCGAGTCGGACCCCGGCGGAGAGGCGAGAGACCAACTAAGGAAGTCGTTCGTTTGAAGCGCGAACATGGACTCGCTAGCGCGGGTTTCGCTGTATCGATCGTGTTCTATAAGTAGCAGTTGGTGTGTGCGTTGATGCAAATCGCCTACTCCGTGTTTCGTTGAACAGGACGGAGTCGTTTATTTGATAAATATACTAACTGATGCGTCCTCTTTTTTCTCCTTCTTGGACTTTCTTGTTTCTTTAATGTCACTCCCGCACGAGCCCCACCGCGTGTTGCGGGAAAGCAACGGAGAGACTATCCGCTTGAACGCTTCTCCGTCTTTTCCCGTCCGTCTCTGACGAATGAAACGGCAAAAAAAAAACCGTATATAAAGTAATAAAAAGAAGGAAACTATTAACAATAAACGAAGAAGAAGAGCGTCCCTTTCGGGATGTGTGACCTCTTCCCTTCCTCCGCAAGTGTGAGGGAAATTTTCCTTTTCCTTTTTGAATGCAGCTTCCCACCACCTCAACAAAACTAATGGCAAGAAGAAGGAGCAGAGCAGGTGAAAGCACAGTAGACGAGCAAAGCACTTGAAATAAATAAAAACCAAAAAGGAGTCGTTGAAAACGGCTGCCTCGCGAAACAGTATAAGCACAGTGAAGGGAAACAAAGAGAAAAGGAAAAAAAGAAAACACTAATAATGTTCTTAAGTAGATGAGAATGTCGGCGGCGTTGGTGCTGGTGGCCGAATCAATTTCTTCCAAGAGGGTCTGCTGTAGCGGGAGGCCCTCGCGCGCGGTTTACCGGCTCTTTTTTTTTCAAATGGACCAACAGAAGAAAACCAACGTTGAGTGTATTTTTTAGGCTCCTGCGATGAAGCAGCGGCACCGCAGCAGAATGAGAAAAGGCAGCGGAGGAGTGTGAAGTACACGTGAGCTCAAGAGTAAGAAGGAGAGAGAGAGAAAGAAGAAAAGAGAGGCGAAGCAAATCGTGATAAGCCGCGCAACGGCCGAAGAATCCCTCCGCGATGTGCGAAGCGGAAAACAAAACCACAGAGGAGTGGAAGGCGCGAGTCGCACGTCCATTCTTTTTTTTTTTCGATTTTGGCGCTGCAGTTTCGAAACAATGGGAAAAGCGACTTCATAGCACTTTGCTGATCCGCCTCCCCGTGTCAGCAGCTCAATAATAGAATCGAGGTAACAGCTCTCCTTTCTTTTCACTTCATGGGGCAAGGTGATGCAACGCGGCCGCAACGGGCCGTAAGGAATCGAGAGACAAAACAAACAACGCGCCGCCGCAAAGACAGCGAAACGCAATCACATAAATAAGGGGGGAGGAGGGATAAAACAAGAAAAAGTATGAATGAACAAAAAAACTGTAGATCTAAAGGAAAAAAATCTTACAACTTCCACAAGTCCTCATGGAGTTTAAAGCCCAGAGAAATCAACGGTAGTAAATAGGGGTTACTTCTAGTGCTCCTTCTCGTTTCGCTTTAACGCCGCCACGTCTACGAACCCCGGCACGGGGTGTGCCTTCAGATGCTCCTCACACTTGCGATACTGATAAGAAAGCGAAGAGAGCAGTTCGTGCAGCTTCGTCGTCACAAGCGTCATGTCTTCGTACACACGCAGACCCAAATTCTGGGTGAACTCGCACCGTGCATCTTCCAACTCTGCCGTCAGACGACTGCACTCGATCTCCTGCTCGTCGCACCTCTGCGCCGCAGCCAGGTAGATCATCTCGCACCTCTCATCCCCGTCTTTTCTCAGGCGTAGCTTTGCGCATTGACTCCGCGCCTCGGCGAGCGCTCTGCCCGCCTTTGTCTTCCGTTTCCGGCTGCCCTCCAACTCCGCGTGCTCGAGCGCAGTCGTCCGAAAACGAGAGGAGAGCGACATGCTGATTTGCTGCCGCAGCGCATCGAGTACCGTCCCGTCGCGCACCTCCTCTACCCCCCGCACGAGGGCCCCGCTGGCTTGGATGACGACGGGGGCGCGCGTTTCTGCCGCAAAACGTTGGAAGGACTTCGCTAGACCTGCCAGCGCCTTGGTGAGGCTGTCCGCGCAGCTCCGAAGCTTTTCCATGGCCTTCTTGTGCTGCCGCATTGCCTCCTTGTATTGTTCATCCGCCGCCTCTGCGGAGCCATCTGCGGCTGTGGGCTTTCCTTCCGCTTTGCTGCCGAATGTTGAGCCGCTGAAGCTGGCGAGCACCTTCATGATCACGTCACCCTCCGCTCCTTTTTCTTTCTTTGTCGATTCAATTCGAGGACGTATCCTTCGCAGCAGGACAACGAAGCCGCCAACAGGCAGGGCAACAAATGCCTCGAAGGACGGTGTTCTCACAAGGTAGGCGAGGAAGTGCGTGGCGAAGTTGAACTGCCTTTGTGGGGGGCCGCACACCACGTGGGGGTGAGGACGATGAGGTGGAGAGGAAGAGGAAAGCAGTAAGGAAAGCAGCTCGGCCGTGACGAACGAACAAGCCATAAAAAGCACACACCCACGCAACTCTGATGGAGCACGTAACGTACGTCTCAGACGAACGGCAAGACCTTACCAAAGAAAAATAAATGAATCTTATCGCTGCCACGTCGTTTGGCTTGTCGCCGCTGAAGTGGGGCCTCCTGTGAGCATGCACGAACAAAGAACGCCTCTCAGCTGCCCTCCGTGAAGGAGGAGGCGGACCGGAAAAGGAGAAAAAAAGACTAGTGCGCCGGACGCTCGCGCGAAGTGAATGCGTGTTTGCCCGATAGAAGACGAATGGCGGCACCCTTAAAAAAATTTCCGCCAGAACAAGATCACCTTTTCCTTCAGCCTTGAAGTTGAGGTACGCAGTGGAGGAACCATTCAAGTTGAGCATAGCAGTTCAATGACACCCCGTCACGGCAGACGGTGGGGCTTCTCCTTTACACCACCCACAGCAGCGAAACAGGCGACCGAACAAAACAAAAACAGATATAGTCACGCTTTTCGCGAAGCAGCGTCGCACCCTTCAATTTTCATGTTCGGCTTCGTCCACCTCTTCTTCGATCGCGCCGCCGTATCCGCAGCACGCACACCGCAGCTGCGCAGACGAGAGCGACGCAGAAGCGCTGTCATCCTGCCGCCGTCGCAACGACTTGCGAGCATCGGGGGCCCAATTGACCGTCTCACACATCGGGCACACCCACTCCTGCATCGCGGCGGCGGCGGTGGCGGACGGCTCTGCCGCCGTGTCGTCGTCACTTCGTCGCGCCTGCACGCACTCCGCCACCCGCACACGCCACGCGTCATCATCGCCAGAGGTGTTGCTTAAAGCTCGCTGCACATCCGCGATGCTTGCCTGCTCGTCGAGGGTGGAGGCCAGCAGACCCGCCAGCAGCTCCAGCGTCTGCTCCTTTGTCGCTGGAGGACGCGCTGGATCACCGTAGTGGTCCTTTCTATCGCGATCTTTCATCCCGCGCTGTTCGCGTCGGATTTGCTTGAAGACGTTGATTTACCTACAGCGCAGAAGACGCGCGTTCTGAGCTGGGAGAAGCAATAATAGTACTTTAAAAAAGAAAGGCCGCTGAAGCGCTACCAGGTGCTGTGAAGAAGTACGCAATACAGAAACAAACAGATAAAGCGGCAAGCAAGTCCAACTTCAATATGCACGCAGGGTCTCACGTCAAGAAACCGGTGCTCTGCATCGTCTACACATCGATCTGTGAAGCCGCGTGTTGGGCCCTGTGTCACATCGCGTAAAGCGTTGCAAAGGAACAGAAGTGAGAAGAGTGGAGCCGGCAAGCAGTGACAGCTCGCGAAAGCAGACACAGAATTCCACTGCGCACAAAGCGTCATTCGCCTCACCGCTTCACCGAAAGAGAAGAAGCGGGCGTGGGAAACGTGCTTCGAGCAGTACGGAGCGGAGACGATGGCGCGTGCGGGGCGCCGCCTGCACCGCGCCCCAATGCCGCCGCCGTGCTGTCCTGCCTTTTATGACGCTCTCACCCGGGCGGTGCCCGTCTCGCCGCCGCACCGGCATCCGCACACACACAACGCGGCGGAGGAGTTCCTCCTGCGACACCAAAGGTAGGGAAAACGAAGCAAGTGCGAACTGGAGGCTTTTCCTTTCCCCCGTGCTTCGCCGTCTGTTCTTTTTAGTTTTTACTCTCTGTTTTACTGCTGCCTTTATCGTATCCGTCGTTGGTGTCCAACGTTTCGCCGGTTGCGGTAGTGAATCGCACCTTACAGGACGTATTTCAACCAAAAAGGAAAACAGAGCTGCAAATGGCAGGGAAAATGAAAAGGAAAACACCGTAACAACACCAATACGAATAGTAATAAGAGAAGCGAAGTGAAGTGAAGAGAGACGGCACACATCATGTAGTAAACAAAAAGATTGACAGCAAGGAAAGAAAAGAAAAAGAAATCCGCACAGACGCTTTGAAAATATGGCGATGCAGCCCAGCACTGCGACTTCGTCCGCCTCTTCGCATTCGGGTTCCGACTTTTCGCAGTTCAATGCTACACGGCTGTTCCAGCGCGGCGAAAGAGGAAGAGAGCAATAAAACGAGGAGGGAGGGGTAGCCCGATAACGGCGCTGCAGAACGCACCTGCTGACCTTGCCTCCTTCAGGCAGGCAGAAACAAACAAAGAGAAGCCTCCACATTCATTTCCTTTACACCACACGCGTTTAGAGCTTGTGCGTGAAGAAACCGCTATGAAGGAGGCCCCCCCCCCCAACCTCGAACATGGAAGGCTACTTGCACTCCCTCCCCTTCCCCATACCCCGCTGAGTCGTTCATTGCCTCCCCCACACACCATTCACACACCCACCCCCATCCACCGACAAAATAGGGAAACAGAAACAAAGAAAAGGCGCTCCATCAGCGTTCCATTTACATAGAAAGTGTGTATAAAGGATGAATAGAAGCAGTCTCTGTATAAAAGAAATCGCATCGAGCGCTCTTGCTGAATCGAAGGGGGAAGTGACGCAGCGTAGAAACGGAGCTGCGACGCGAAGGCAAGACGCCAAAGCACACCGGATGGGCTCACACGCTGGCAGCGAAGAATCGCAGAAGGAAAGGAGCACCACGTCAATTAAGCGCTGGTCTGTATAATCCTAAATAGTTAAAACAAAAGAAAGGGAAGGAAACGAGGCTAGTGGGGCAGCACGCGAGCCAAAACGCAAACGAACACAACAGGAAAAAACAAAAACAGGGGGTAGAAAAGGGTGCGTGTAAGAAGCACGGACTGGCGATCCGATCCTTCGCTGCTCCTGGCCGCATCCGCCTACATGACGCAACAGCAGCTATTCTTCTTCGCCTCGCGGCCCTCCCCGGAGTTGCCACCGTCCGAGTTGGCACTAGACTTGGCCTTCTCCTTTTTCGACTTTTCCTCCACCGGTGGGCGATTCTTTTGAATCACCATGTGCATCACCACGGACGGCTTCTGCAGCTCCTCGGCGTGGTCGCCTATCGTCTCCTCCGCCGACACGCGACACGTCTCCTTCTCCGCGGCGCTGAGCTGCTGCTCGAAAACGTCTTCGTCGTTCAGCACGCGGCCGGTCTTGAGCACCTTGATGGGCACCGCGGCGATCGAGTCCGCCAGCTCCCGCATGTCCGCCGGCCAGTTGGCACGGAACTGCTCGATGAGGCCTCCGATCCTCGTCGGCGCACCGTCGGGCTGGTGTAACGCTACGATGGCGTGCACGACGCGGCCCGAGTAGGCGGGCAGACATGCACCGGTGAGCACGTAGCGAACACGAACGCGGTCCATTTTTTGGACGATGAGAGGAAGCGAGTTTACGTAGAGGTGCAACAGCAATATATACGGAGGTCAAGGGGAAAGAAAACACTCAATCGATTCTACACAACACTCGGGGGCGGAAGGAAATGTCACGTGTAAGTTCCGCGTAGCGGCCGGCGTGACTCGGTGAACTATTAAACAAATATTTAAATCTTTTCTTCACACAGCAAACAACGGATGCTACCGAGTGCAAAAATGAGGAGGGGAAAACAACGAATGGTCAATGCGATGAGGTTGCGCAGGAGTAATTCTTGAGGCGATGTCAAGGAGAGGAAAAAACAGCAGACTACGAAAGGAAACCAATTACTTCGACGGAGGTACCTTCTTTTCGGTCGATGATGCGATCGGTTTCCGGTCGAACGTGACCGCCGGTGTTTCGAAGGAAGAGAAGAGAGTACAAAGAGTGAAGGTATTTTCGAGGTGGGCGGAGAGGCGACACAAGAAGAAACCACGCTCGGTGCTGTTCCTCGTTGATTCCACCGCCTCTCGGTCGTCTCATCCTACGCAATTCCCCTTCCAATCATGGGGATCGAACCGCGCTGCTGACACACCAGTGTGTAGTAAGGCCGCGGAAGAGGTGTTGCTTGCTGGGACAGGCAGAGATCGCATGCAAGAGAGAGGGAGAGAGAAAGAGAGCAGCCGCAGCGACCCCAGCGGCAGAGGCGCTTTTGACAAGAGTGTAAATGCTCCGTAAAGCCGACGCATTACGCCGCGGTAAAGCGGCTGCTTAAGAGAAAGAAAAGCGAGGCTTCTCGCTTTGGTTTTTGTCGCCGTTTTCGTCACCAAAGGACGTCAGCACAACGTGCGCCAAGCAGCCGACTTCACAAAAAATGCCATTGAAGAAAAGAAAAAGAAAAGCACACGTTGCTGCGGCGGGCACTTCAAACAGGAAACAGAGGAAAATGAAAACGGATCGTGCAAACCCCAATTCGCCTCCCATCTGTGCGGAAAGACTCGTCCCACAGGCAGGGACGCCGTCGTGCCCCTCTGCTCACTCAACTTAGCGGCTTCACACGCCGTGGTACACCACCCATCGCGGGGGGAAGGAAGAAGAGGAACAAACGTATTCGGCGAGCGCGCCGCACTAAAACGCCTTCTCCGTCTTTTCAGCGGTGTAAGCGGGAGCATCGTTGAACTCCGTCGGCCTGCGGTAGACCGGGCCGTTGTAATCGTGGGGCAGCATTCCATTGAACTTTGCCCACGGCTGACGACGCGTCTTGGTGTACACCGTTCCCACCAACTCCCTCCCGCCGTGCACACGGGCGCGTACCTGCTCCATGATGAGATCGTCGCGGCTAACGAATTTGCTCTCGCTGCGGTGCCAGCCCCAGAGGGCCCACATGTCGCGCGGCATCGGCTTGGCGCCCTCCTCGTTTACGGAGAGGTAGCCCGTCGCGGCCGTGAAGGAGCCGAGGCGGCCCAGCTGGTCCATCCACATTTTGAACTCAGTGTCAACGCGCATGACCGACCGCATCGCCCCTGCCTTCACCGCGCGCTGGAAGTATGCTTCCGCCTTTTCCAGCGGCAGCCCGGCCAGCTTTGATGCGAGCATCATGTTGACGTAGCTCTGGCAGTTCGGCTCCAGGCCCAGCAGCTCCATCTCCTTAAAGAGGCGCTCAGCCTGCTCGAAGTCCTTCGCGAACGCAGCGGCTTGCATGACAGCATTGTAGATGTAGTGGTCTGCCCCGAAGCGCTTCAGGTAGTGCCGATACACATCCATTACGCGCTCCATGTTCTCCTTCGGTGCCTTCTCCACCAGCGGCAGCAGCAGCACAATCGTCGTCTCGGAGTGCAGCTTGCTCCAGTACGCTTCGTCGCGGGCGTGCCCGTACAGCCGCCACGCCGCCTCCGGAGTCAGCTCGAAGTTGTCGCCCCCGTTGTAAAAGCCGATCGCCTTGGGCCACTTCGTGTACCCGAGAGCGTTAAACTGGCGCTCCTGCCAGCTGTTTGGGTGTCGTCGAGGATGGACAAGGGCCAGCGGCACAAACTGATTCAGCGTCCTTTCGGACATCTTAGGGCGCCAGGCTAGGTTCTTGCCACCGCGCCGTGTGCGGCCCGGGTTGTGCGTCCAGCCCTTTTTAAGGGCAATGGCGGTGCACCGCAGCATCTGCTACTATCAAACAGTAGACTCTTGTTTTCGAATACACATGTGTGGCGCGAGAGTGGTGGTGGTGCAGGACCGGGGGGGGGGGGGGGACGGAGAATAGGCGAGACGAGGCAAGGGGGGAGTGGGGAAGGAGGGAAGCCGCAAATGCGCACCCACACAACAGCTTGTGCGGGGCACACAACACAGCAAACACCGCGAGTTGGGGTGCAGCACAACGAAGGCGATCATTTTGCTTGCAAACACATCCACCAGCAGCGATTCCGCGCAATGCAACCCAATCGTGCGTTGGGTAAAAGGAAAGGCGATAAGAAGAAAAGACTGCTGCTGACAGCGAATGCGCGAGTCACACAAAAATTGGCCTCTTTGCTGTCATTTACGCACCTTTTTTGTTTTCCTTTTCAGGGGAGAGATGTTTGTAAGCAACGCGTCGTGGCCCATTCAGCATCGACCAGAATCAATTTAAAGCGCACTGGCGCAAGGGCAGAAAAAGAAAACGAAGGAAAAAAAGCGTCAACGAAGCCACAACTAAACGAAGACGGAGCGGCACGGTAAGTCGGAGAAACGTGAGGAGAAAAAGTATTATCAGGAAAAGCAGGTCACTATTGCTCGGTATGTGTGTGTGTGTCTTCGTTTCTGCGTAGGTGTCTGTCAGGCTGTGCGTAAAGGACGACGTTAGAAGTGGAGGTTCAGCCGATCACCGAAGTCGCTGTTCACTGCCAGCGCCGAGAAATCTTCAAAAGTAATGTAGCCATCGCGGTCCACGTCTGCCTCAATGAAGGTCTTATCCACAATTTGCTGCAGCTGCATCTGTGAGAGGTTCACCCCGACCATGATGCTCAGGGTCTGGAAGAGGTCCTTGTTGCTGATGCGTCCGTCACCGTCGATGTCGTACATCTTGAAGGTGAAGCGCAGCTTGTCCTCCTTCGACGTAGCGGACGACAATACGGAGAGGGCGCGCACAAACTCGCCGAAGTCGACGGTGGAGTCGCCGTCGGTGTCCATGACCGCCAGCACGCGGTCCACCAGCGGATTCGAGGCGAGCGCGGGAATCGAGTTGAACTCCTCCCGCGTGATCTCGCCAGACCTGTCCTTGTTCAGCTTGGCGAAGCGCTTGTACAGTCGGTGGATTTGCGCGTCCGTCAGCGCGGTCGACTCGCGAATGCTCTGCAGCTCCTCTGCGGACAGCGGAATACCGTTCATGGTGCGGGTGTGCGTGTGGGTGTGTTGGGTGTGTGTGTTTTGGTTGTTTGCTTGCTGAATCGATTCGAGGCTCTTGCTGCCGTTTGCGTTTCTCCGCTGGGATAGATACTGGCGGTGCGAGGTGGGCTTACAATGTTCTGCTCACTTCACTTCCAAAGAAAAAAATAGAAACAAAGAAAGAGAACAGAGAAGAGCGAGACGAGAAGAAAGGCAATAGAGATTTTTCCTTTTCTTTTGCAGACGCGCTGATCGGCAATTTGACGCATTTTTCCTTTCCATCGCGTTTCTTCGGCTGCTTTTCCCGCCAAAACTGCGGAAGAGTGAAGTGGGGGATCTCCCGCCGGAGCACGAAAACAACGTGAATGACTTATGCACTTTCAAGATACACATGTGCGGTAACGCACTCGAAGGGCGGACGCAGAGTCCTCGGCTGTACATACGAAAAAGACAAGAAGAAAAGTAAAGAAAGTGACACTGCTTAGCAAAACTCCTGCCAATCTCCGCTAGCAAGGAGGAAAGAGAGAAAGGAAGCGACTCTCAGAGCGAGCCGCCGTCCAGGTCTAGTGAGCACGCAGCCGCGTACAACGCCTCCGTGCAGGTAAGAAACGCACGCACCGCATTTCGCGGCATCAACGTCGGCAAGTGAAGGAAAGTCGCAGCCCCGCTGTTCACTTCGTTTGCCACCACCGCAGAGAAGCTGCTCCACTGCTCGCGCAGCTTACCAAAAGTCCGCGTCTCCGCCCATGCCAAGATGACCTGCGGATGCAGCGCTTCCAACGCCACAACGCCCTTCTCGTCCACATCAAAGGAGCGGAAGATAGCGGTGATGTTCGATTCGAATTGAGGGTGGTAGCGGTGATCAAGCAGAAGGGTTAGCACAGCGAGCACCTCCGCTGTCTCTGTGTCGGCTGCGTAGGACGGAAGGGTGCGAAACATCGTGTCCTCATACGACGGGCTCAACACCTCTATCGGGCCGATCGCGGAGAGAAATTCATGGAACTCCGACCGCTCAAGGCGATCGTCGAGCGATAGCGTCGACGCGAAATTGAGAGGGTGCGGCTTGAGGGTCGCGATGGCAGCGTACACGGCCGGCATCGACGCCGTGGAGGCGTAGCCAATCAAAGGATGAAGGCTGGTCGTCATCGTGATGGAGTGCATGGAGTCGAGGGACTTGCGCGCACGCCGTGTCGCGGTGCCGCCCCGCTCGTGCATTTCACCCGCCGAGCGCAGTCGCCGCCCGCTGACGGCGTAGGACTGGTTCTTAAAGAGGGCCGCCTCGAAGTCGCGGATAGGGCCGCGGGTGGCCTCCCGCCTGTGCGCGTCGCGCTCCGCCTGCGTCCACTTCGGTGGCGGCGGACGCACAGAGCGCAGGAAATAGTCGTAGGAGCTTTCAAAAGGCTCGTGCGTGGTCTGCGTGGCGGCACCGGCTGCCGTGATATCGCCGTCGCAGGGACGTGCGTCGGTGGGGGACGTGCCGGCAGATGCGTTGGTGGGCGGCACCTTCTCCTTCCGCCACGTTCCGCTTTTGCGGTGGTAGCGGAAGCGAGGCAGCGGCGGCACGTCGAAGGCGGACGATGAGGTGCCTGGCATGTGTTCCCGCTTTCTCCTGCGCGTGTATGTCAAGCAAGGCGAACGTGTTTGTTTGCTGTTCGTGGGAGTGCGCTCCACTTCGTATAGATACTTTTTGTTGTTGCAGATAAAGGCAGGCGTACATGAAAGGTGCGTTGGACGTTGGAAGTTGGTTTGCTTTGGCGCAGGCGTCCCTCGAGCTGGAGGTTTGTGGCGGCTGCGGAAGGGAGACGACAAAAAGGCCGCGACGTGGAGATGTGGAAGTCAACATCTACGTACGCCTTTCGTAGCGCCACAAGCAAACACACAAACGCAGAGGACACATCACCGTGACCGACTCCGTCCCTGGACAAATAACAAGGGAGAAAGTGGCAAAGGTGCCGGCAGTCTCCAATTGCCCAGCGATGATGACACGAAGTAGCACTCTCCAAAAACGTGGAGGAAAATAAGCTCGGAACCGCCTCCGACGAACTCAGCATTACGGAAGACTCCCGAGACGTGCAAGAAGCACCGCTTTGACCCTCTTTTCAAAATTAATCTAACTCGCTTTTCATAGTCTAGCGCCATCCTTCACGTAGAATGGTCTTGTGGGTGAGTGTTGGTGTGCGAAAAGACGGCACAATAGTAGCAGTGTATTTCGGAAGCAAAAACAAAAAAAAATAGGTGACGTAGAGATACACGAAGCAGTACACAACCGATCAATGAGGGAAGGGGAGAGGGGGAGGGACAAGTGCACAGGCGAATACGCTGCTTCTTCGCGGTTCGCTTAAACCATTGAAAGCGATCTAAAAAAAAGAGGGGGTAAAGGGTTTTTTAAAAACAAAAGAGAGCGCGGAAGAACGGAGAGCAATGCATCTCACGTATATGCATCTATGTTTCATAACGAGAAGGGAAGGGATGAACGAAAAGCACAAAGAAAAACTGTTAAGCCCGATAACCGTGCATTTATGTGTGAGAAACAAGGATTCTTCGTGTGCGGACACGGTGAATGCACTCGCCCGCTATGAAGCACCACAATCGCCCAAGGGTTGCATGTGTGAGGTGAGAAGGAGGAGGAGAAAAGGGAAAGGGGAACGCAAGTGCACACACGCGACACCTCACCCCGGATCGTAGCTCTTGGTCAGAAATGGGTGATCGAGAAGCTGCGCTGCAGACGGCCGCAAAGCGGGGTCGAGTGTCAGACACTGTCGCACAAAACCCACGTAATCCGGGTCATCGTAGCCAAAGAGCTCTCGTGGAGGCGGCGGCTCATCAGGGAAGTGGAAGACGAGCTGTCCCTCCTCGTACGCGTAGAACGCGCCGTGCTTGGAGACGTAGAAGACGGTGTTGCGACCCTCTTGCAGCATCTCGGCCGGGATGGGGCCACACACGCCTGCAACGGATGCCAGCAGGGCGGAAACCGAGTCCGCGTTGAATAGAATTGTACCTGTGGCCAGTTCCGGCAGCATGGCACCCAGTGACCAAACATCCACCCCTGTCCCGTACCGGCAGCCGAGGATGACCTCCGGGGCTCGATAGGACCGCGACTGCACATAGGAGCTTAAGGTGTCGGTGAGGTAGCAGCTGCTGCCCAGGTCTAGCACCTTCACCTCGCACTTCGGCACCGATCTAAAGGCAATGTTCTCCGGCTTGATGTCGCAGTGGATGAGTTGGAGTGAGTGCATCAGCTTGAGTGCCGTGAGCACCTGTCGGGCAATGCGCTGGAGATTGCCCAGAGTGAAGTAGGCCCGGCGCTGCGCCTCATCAAGGCAGCGAGCGTGTTCGTACAGATTCGAAGACAGCAGTTCCGTGACCAGGATAAGATGATTGCGAAAGTAGGAGTAATCTAGAAGGCGCACAACGCAGCACGCATCGGCGCAGCCAGCCTCGTTCACACACGTCAGGACCCGCAGCTCGTCCAGCCCTTGATCGAAGTAGCTCTTTAAGTTGCGAATTACCTTCAGGCACACCAGCTGCCCGGTCGCCGTGTCTTCCGCCTTCACTGTATGCGAGAAGGTGGCGGCGTCCAGCGGCGCCTCCACGCGGTAGCGGCTCGCAATGATGTCGCCCTTCTGCACCCGAAGCTCGTCCTCCGCCTCCAATCCGGTCCGACCGGCTTGGTAAAACACGCTCAGCGCAAACTGCTGCCACGGCAGATCGGACGGCGGGGGCTGCTTCTTGTAGGGCCGCACCGAAACGAAGGAAACGGGGTGCCCTAGCTCCTCTATGAAGTCGTCCCGCGGCAGGCCAGCGCCGTGCTCAAAGAAAGGGGCAAAGACGGCGCTACTGGAGGTGGGGTCCGGCTCCTCGGTCCACATGTCATCGGGATCGCCGATGCACGTCATGACGAGGCGTTTTTGCGCCGTGACGGACAGCGGCCGGGGCGGGGTCAACGCCGCGGAGGAGTTCGGCGACGTCATCGACCCGCCCCGCGCCTTGGAGGACTCTCTGCTCTTGGGCTGCAACGACGTGCGCTTCTTCTTTGCGTTTTTTGACAAAGACGCCGTGTTCGGCCGCACACCCCAATCCATTTCGAGTGTGTCCGCCATGCTCATATAGCCCGCACCCCTTAGCAGCCGCACCGTTTCCCGCATCTTGGCGGGGTCCACGCCGCTAGAAGTCGGCATCGCATCCACGGTGGACACGCTAACGCGGAGTACGTGTGTGTGTGTATGAGTGTTTGTGTGCTTGTAAGCTATAGCAATGGAAGGCACTTTATGCTGTGTACGAAAAAGCCCTCCAAAAAATACAAAAGTTGTTGGAGGAAAAAAAAAAGTAAAGGAAGAGAAAACAAACGAGTAGCCAGCCGAACACTTTTGAATGCAAGCCGAACTACTGACCGTGTGCTCCCGCACCGAGCAGTTTGTGTGTGGAACTACGCGGAGAGTTGCACTGTGGACAGACGACTGTGCTGCCGCTTCACGCCTCGCATCAACGACAACCGGAAGTCTCTTTACCCCTGCGAGCAGTTCACCCTACAAACACTCCACCTTCGCCTGCGTGTTCGCGGTCCAACAGGAAGAAAGCCCGTCTTTGTCCGCAGCGTTGAAATCCGGCGCGGCCACTAACGCCATTGTCGGCAAATGAGAAGACCTCATTCTTTCTGCTTGTTTGTTTTTTGCCTACAGTCTATGCGTCAAATCAACAGTACAAATCGCCGTTCTATTCATTACGGTTAAAACACTCGAGCATGAACTTGCCATCTCTAAAGCAGTGAGTCGCCTCACACGAACACACGCGTCCAAACAAGCACAAACAAACGCACATACACAGACTCACACTCACACTCACTCACCTCTATGCTTGCGTGCCACACTGCTGCCAGCACCACCTGCGCAAATACACACCGACTCACACACATGCACAGCCTCGATGTCCTTCAACTATTTACGCTGCATAAATAGTCCTACTTCCTTTTCAGAAACGCCTCACACGCCTTGAGCACCTTCGGGCACATGCGGAAATCGACCAACTGCCGCGAGATCAACGCCGACTTCGCGCCCTGCGCCAGCACCTCGCTCAGGTGGCCCGTCTCGTTCTTCAGCCCGCGAGAAAGAATGCCGTCGAGGTCGCCGTACTTCTTCAGCAGCTGACGCGCACGCACCTTCCCAATGCCCTTCATGCCAGGAATGTTGTCCGATGCATCGCCGGCCATCGCCTTAAAGTCGCGAATCAGTCTCGGGTGCACCCCGACACGCTCTATCACGTTCTTCTCCGACACGAGGTGCTTCGTACGAATATCGAAGTTGTACGACTTGTGCAGGTCGTCTACGAGCTGGTAGAGGTCAAAGTCGTGTGACATCACCACCGTTGGCGTCATATTTTGTTGATTGTAAAGAGCAAGGGTGGCGATCATGTCGTCCGCCTCCGCGTTCACCGTCTTCAATCGAGCGTCGAAGTCGGGAACTACCAGCGCCGTGTGCGGCGGCTCCTCCTCGAAGACTCTCTTCGCCACCTTCTCCATCATCAACAATTCCGGCGTGCGCTTCACCTCTGCCCGATTTGCCTTGTACTCACGGAAAATTTGCCGTCGGCCGCCGTCACCTTGGTCGAAGCAGATGATGATCTTGTTCAGCTTTGGTGTGTGTGCGTATTCTAACTGAGGCGATAAGAGGTGTTGTGCAAGGTGGGTGGGGTCGAAGCTATGCGCCGTGGCAATGATAAAGCGTGCGTTCTTGAAGGCGAATTTCTTGGGGTCGATCTCAGAGCCGTACTTCTCCGTGGTGTAGCTCCATCGGTGGTACCACCGGTGCACCACGGCAGGGCCGTCAATAAGCACGACCGCCTTTTCGCGTACCGACATAACTTACCAGAGAAAAAAAGGTCAGATGAGTCTAGGATAAAAGAAAGTTCTTTTCGCAAGGACAATGAGAAGAACAGATCAAAAAAAAGGCCGCAGTGTGAGAAATGAAGATAAATAGATGAGGTGCGATGTGATGAGAGGTGGCTGTGCAGAAAATGTATGCGTGGTATGTAGATATATTTTGCGTGTGGGTGTGCCTCTTTGGTTGTTTGTTTTTCCCAACTTCAGCTTCGCGTCATTGCAATTCGGACAACGCCGCGCTGTGAGAAGTGGTTGTAGGAAAGCACCAAAGCGATACAGCTCAATGATTGTTTGACGCAGGTCAGATTGTGCGCACCACACGAATGAGGAAAACGAACTAAAGCCAAAGTGAGATAATTAGTAAAACAAGCACGCATGAACATATGTATTTAATTGTTGGGATGAGTTACACGTGGCGGTGTGCACGTGCAAGCGGCGGTAGCGGCACTCACAACTCGCACTTGCGAACTGTGTGCCGACGTGCCCCATTTTTTTCTTCCGCCCTGCTTCATCTACAGCAGTGCTGAAAACGAAGAAATCGACGAGAAGAGCATGCTGTACAGAAGGGTATCTCCACTTCAATAACGTGTCGCATGAGAACGTGAAACATACAATATCTCTACGCTTCGCCAAGAAATCGATCAATCAGTCTGTTGCTCTGCTGTTGTTCGTGTTGCTGTGCAACCGAAAAGCACCAAACACGGAGGCGGGTGGGAAAACGCAAGAATACGAAAAAAAAAACGTGCATTGCAACAGCGAACAGCAATACATAAAGACTACGTGTGCGTGTGTGTGCAATGGAAACTGCAGCCTGCGCGAATAACCTTCCGCGAATCCCTCATGCGCGAACGCCGCGCTCCGCCTACTCCTTTGTCAGGAGAGAGACACCGCTGGAGCCTGCTGGGTACAAACCACGATCAATGTACTGCTTCAGCCGGGTCTGCACGTTCTCCGGCAACGTGGAGTGCTGGACAAGATAGTCGGCAGCCTGCAGCTTCATCGTGCGCACCGTGATGTTCTCTTCGTAGGCTCCACTACACAAAAACGATGCGCACACAGCAGCCAGCACTTTCTCCAGACCGTCAAAGCGGAGCGCCTTGAGCACCACCCGCCAAAGAGCCAGGCGCACTTCATCATCAGGGGTGGTGCGCGTCTGCCACGCATCCAGCATTAAATCTTTGGTAAAGTACGACGGCACAACGTGCGAGGAGCCCAGCATGGAAAGGATTAAGTTGAGCGTGGAGAGACGAAGCGATGAGGATGTGCTGCGGAGTCGCGCCTGCAGTTCGTCGCACCGCAAAAGACTCGTGACGGCGTCCCAGCCTGTTTGGGTTGTGGCCGCGGCCCCGAGCACGTCGAAGGCGGCCTCCGTCGCCGCCTCATCCTGCGCGTCGCTCGCAACGACCGGCACAACGGCCGATACGCACGCGGCGGCGTCGCGGCTGCCGTTGTCCTCGTGGCGCAGCAACGCAATGCTCCAGAAGCGGCACACAAAAGCGTAGTACACGGGGTCGTCGTGTCCCTGCAGGACCTGCATCGTGGCTTGCCGCAGTGTACTGGGCATCGCAACGGTGCGACACACAACACCGCTGGCCACCAAATAATTCGCTAGCAGCAGCGGATCACTCGCAAAGGCGCCCTCGGTGGCCTCCAAAAGGAAATGAAGCAACGCGGTGTGCTGCTCAAGGAAGGCGCATACTTTGGGGTTGGTGGGTGCCTCGGCGTCGTCGCAGTTCAGCAGCCGCAGCACGCGGTCGTTGTGGAAATGCGCGTCGAGCAGCTGTCCAACAAGCACGGCGTTTTCCGCATGACGCAGCGTGTCGAGCACGATGCACTGCAGCGCCGCGAGCATGGTGGAGGCAACAGCGGTGTCCGCGGCAGCCGCGGAGCGGACCACGAACTCGAGCAGGAAATGCGAAGAAGGTGCAAAGAGGACGCCTCTTCTCGCATCTGTCAGGTCCGTGAACACGTCCCTCAGTGCACTTCCTATGAGGGTGTAAATATCCCGGTCCTCAGCAGCCTCAACGTCTTTCAAAAGCGTGCTCAGTTCCTCCGCTGCGGCGGGATCGGCCATCAACTCTGCCGCCCGCGTTGGGGTGAAAAACGCCTGCAAGTTGCGCTTGGCATCACCGGAAACAGCGAGGTCGCCAGAAGAGACTTCAAGCGCCAGCTGGCGGAGTGCCGCAGCGTCCATTCGATCCGAAAACAAAAGAAGGGAAATCGGGTGAAAGGAGGAATTGTTGTGCAGCAGTTTTATGGGTATGAACCCTGCAAATTCATTATTAGTCATCGTACACCACCAAAAAAGAACGGTGATGTGCACAACGGAAATGATGCGTGTAAATGAGCAGTACGGGCAGTACGGGCAGTTTGATGCCAGTTTGGGAAAAGAAGAAATACGTGAGATGCTCCACTGAAGAACGAAAGAAAAAAACATTTAAAGGGAGCCTGTGGGTTCTAACGCCATTTAGCGTTCAGCGGTGTGCCCGGAGGTGAACGAGCTGTTAAAGGCTGGCGCGACGTTGATCGTGAGAGCACTCTTGAAACTGGATGCATACTTTTCCGAAGGGTACAGCTCTGTCCACGGCAGACGTCATGCGTGCGCCGACCTCGACGGTGTTCAGCGACGCACAACGCTGCTGGGCCGTGGCGGGTGTGTGCGTGCGTTTATGGGAATGTGGAATCGCACACCTTTAGGTAAGGGATTGATTGAGTTCTGAAGCAACGGCGGGTACATGGCAACATACAGTACAGTGAACATATATATGCAAGAAAAAAGAGCTTATTTTGTGGTGACGACTTCGTGCTGGGGGTGAGAACACGCACGACATCGCGCCGCGTGGCAGCGCTGACGCAGACGCTGGCAAACATCGCTGCAGTACCACTCACAGCCACAATGAGGACAGGGGAAGCAATGCGGAGAAAACGTGAAGCAGTAGTCGCACATGTGAACGCCGTCCTCAGCGCACGGTGTCAGGGAGGACGAGGTGACACTTGCGCTACCGCACGCCGCTGCGTGCTCATTGATCGGGTGCTGGCTAGCGCATGGCCTTTCGGGTGCGCGTGTGTCGCCCCTCAAAGACCGTTGCAGCAACTGCTGCACCTGCGCTTTGATCTCCTCCAAGTCTCTGTGCATCCGTCGGTTGTGTGCGCAGTTCTCGTACACAAGCGCCTTCAACGCTGACAGTTGCAGATCCGCGATTTGCGACTCCAACGAGTGCTCCTCCTCACGCGATACGTTCATTGGCCGTTTATTGCGTGCGTAGAAGTGCTTCAGCGCTCTCCGCCAGCATGTGTAATTGACAAAGCCTGCGTGCGGCCGCTCACGCAAGCGGAATGAGAGATAAAAAAAAGGGAGGGGGTGACGCTCCACTTAAACAGTGCGGTAGATTGCAGACCGTTTGCGCTGGTAAGAAAAATTCCGGTTCGTGTTTGTATTTGTCCTCACTTTCTTTGGTGAGAGATGAGAGAATGATGAACGATTGTCGGGAGAGAAGAGAAAAGGCAATGCAGGACGGCATGCGTTATATAGTCAAGAGGCGCTGCTGAGAAGAGGCAATACGTACTTCCCAGACGTGAGCGACAAAAGTAACGTCACCAGCATGGTTTGCCGTTGCAGGTGGTGCCGCTTCCACCTTCGCATTCACACCATAATGCAAGCTCCTCCTCTTGCTCTTCTCTCTCACCACAGACTTCGCAGGTAGAAACCGTGAATTAAGAAGAGCTTAACGCATGAGCATCTGTTAACGAGAAACGCTGAGACAAAAATCTTTATCAAAAAAAAACTGTCATTGAAGCTAGAGAAAACTGCTTCAGCTTCAAGTAATAGACATTTCTCTTTCACCCAGTTTGGTGCCCTTATCACTTTCACAGAAAATAATAATAATGCTAACGAACAGAAGACGAAACGGAACTCATCTCTTCCGTTCAGTTTGGAAAGAATGTACAAGGTAAATGTGTGTGTGTGTGTCTTAATCACCGACATTTTCTTTTTTAAGCTTTATTGATTCAACATTGCGCCGTAGTCATCGCCGTGCGGAACGTTGCGAAAGCAAAAGCGACAGTTCTTTCCTTCCGTTTTAAGAATCAAGAGCTACATTACAGCAGTGAACACGCAAAAGTAAAACAAAAGAAACGCGATAAATTTCTTTTCTCTTTTTAATGGATTCCGTCCAGGCTGAAATTCCGCACCTTTCCTCCCTCGTGGATTTGCCACCATTCTGCTCAATTGCTGCCGCAGCAGCATTTTAGCTTCCTCCATTACGTTCGACGGCGGCGCACCGCTAGCCGGGTCCATCGGACACGCTTGCCAAAGAAACCACCCAAGTCATGATAAAGCACATCTGCTTCCTCGACTGTACAATTCAACAACGCCTGACATCTGAAAAGAAAAAAAAAAACGCCGGCCTCATTTTGTTGGGTGGGTAAAACGCAGAGGAGATGAAGGTAAAGTAAGCCTGCTAGTGGATACCGGGTGACAACGGGGAGCTGAGTACGAGAACCGCCTCCTCGCTGCCATTGCTGCCACGCATCCGGACAGAGCGATCATCGGAGTTCCGTTCCGTTCTTTCCTCCTTCACTTTGACACCAACACAGGCACGATAGCAACCGGAGAAAGGGGGTTGGGGGAACACACTTGAAGCAATAATAGCGCAAATCACACAAAATATTCTTTTAATGAAAGCAAGCATAAGTTATATAGAGGGAAAGGGTTTTGCACAAACGCTGTAACCACAACAGTAACGGACGCCTCGTTGCGGCGGTGTCAACTGCACGTGCCCTCATCACAGACAAATTCAACTAGGCAACACAAAGATGTAAGAAGGGTATTCCATCTGCGCTTCTGCAGCGAGCGAAGGAAGCAGAAGTCGCAGCAGCAACAACGTCAATACGCCAACGTAAGTGACCACACACGTTCTGAATAAAATGTACACACTATACAATAATAGAAGAAAAGGGAAAGGAAAAACGTGAAAACCACCGCAGCGCAAGTGCGTGGGCTGCAAACAGTGCGAGGTGTTCAAGCGCAACGCCGTGATCGAGGACCTTTTTTCCACTTGGCGTGAGCTCGTGCGTAGAGAGAGGGAGAAGGGAGCGAAAATAGAGAGTAAGTGCGGGTCGCACGCTCACGATGTCTGCCACGAGGTCGGGTGCTGCTTCTGCTCCATAGGTCCCATGTAATGTGGATGCCCGTATTTCGGCGAGCGATCGTACTTGCCGTGCGGACTTCCCGTGTTGGCTGGACGGCTCACGATGTCGTATTCGCGCGGCGGGCGATAGCTGCTGCCCTCCGTCTTGCGAGCGACGGCCTCCATCTTGCCCTCCAATTTCTTTGCGTACGGGGCGTTCTTGATGAGCGGCATGAAGGGGCGAAGGGCGTGCACCAGCTGCTCCGCCTGCGCCGGGGCGTTGATGGACAGCGCCGTTTGCAGCACGTAGTTGCCAAAGTCGTCCTGGATAAGACGCGAGATGATCTCAGGGTTGCACATCTCCTCCACGTACATCTCCTGCACCGGTTGCGTGGCGCCCCGCAGCACCTTCTCCATCACGTTAGAGCTGAACTTATTCATGCAGAGGTGGACAAGGTGGGGAAGGAACGCGAGGGCGATGGTGTCGTTGATCTTGCTGTCGTGCGCCTCCAGAATGTATTGAAGGACGTAGTTACCAAAAGGGTCCTGCGCGATGTGCAAGCAACACGACAGCACCTGGTCCACGAGGGCTTTATTCTGCCGCGGCGAGGCGTACTCCAGGCAGCGCTGCAACACGCAACAGCCTTGCTTGTTCTTTGCAACGCTAATGCAGTCGGTTGCCACCGCCTTGTAGATGAACTCCTTGTCGTCGAAGTCGAAGCGCTGCAGCACTTTCTGAATAACGTGATTCCCATGCGCATCCTTCACAAGCCGCACAACATCCTTTGACAGCGCCTCGCGAATGATCTCCACCTCATCACGGGTGGAAATGGTTTCGATCATCTTTTGAACACTAAAGGTGCCGTGCGGCGTGAGGGCGATCATGGAAATCTGTGGCGCTGCCACCAGTGCCACCTTGTACCGCACGTCGTCTGGCATAATGTCGAACAGTTTCTGGACCAAGAAATTCGCGTACTGGTCCGTCATCAGCTCCGCGACGTGGGGGATGATTTCGTCCATCAGCACGTGAACAGCTTCTTGGTCGCAGCTCGTGTCGAGCCACCGCTGCAGATATCTGCACCCGTGCTGGTCCTTCGCCGTTTCGTACACTTTCCCGCGCAGGCTGTCGGCTGTAATGGAGCCACTCTGCGCGTATTTGCTGCCACTTGCTGACCAGTCACCATAGGCGCCGCCGCTGCTGCCACTGCCGCCACCCACCATGTCGTGGGTAGAGAGGCCGTCCTTCGGCATCATCAGGTCAGGTACGGGCATGTTGTTCATGTCCATGCTCATCGCGTGGTCCTTCGGTGTCATTCCCATTCCCGTCCCCATGCCTCGTCTCCCTGCATTAGGCGACGGGGCATAGGACTCACTACCGCTCATACTTTTCGGCGTGCGGTCGTACTGACTGCCGCCGTTGCCGGTGAAGCGGCCGCTGCCGCCGCTGTTGTTGGCGTAGCGTCGCTGCGGTGTGGTTTGCAGCGCCGCGTACGGACCGCCCATCGTAGGGAGGGAGGAGTTGCTGGCAATGTGGTTCTGCGGCTGCCACGGCGCTCCATTGGCGAGATGGTGCTGCTTGATGGGTGAGCTCAGCGCCGCCGCGGTCAGCGGAGACGGCGTGGCGAAAACTTGAGAGCTCTTGGTATACTTGCCAGTTGCCTTCGGTGGAGCAGCTTCTTCTGTGTGGACAACGTATTGCAGTATCTCCTCCAAATTGTCGTAGCCCTCCGTCTTGTACTCGTCCTCGTGCACAGTCCACGCCATTGTGAGAGAGATTAAAGCACAGCCTTTTCCAAAGGAGAGTAGATGAAAAAGAGAAAAAAAGAAGTCCAATCCGCGGGAATTGAAGCGGATTCCCTATCTGGCGAATACACGAATTATTTTAAAAGCACAAGTGCTGGGCTGTGTGGCAAAAAAAAACGAAGAATAAAAGGCCAAAGTAGGTGGGAAACGGAATACATGAAACTAAATGAGAAGGGAAAACACAAGAAGAAATCTTGCTCTACAGATTATACGGAGTGTCGATTTGCGTCACAGGCAGCAGAGGTTCACACATACAAAAGCAAAACTCAGCGCAATGCGAAGAGAATGAACAGCGTGTGATTGTGCATCCTTCTTTTCGTTGCTGTTGCTGCATCGCAAGCACGATTCGACGCAGGTTGCGAAGTTACATGGGTTTATTAGAACTATGATTCAGTTTTACGATTTTATTTTGACGCACTGTACATTCGCTTTCACATTCGCTTGCTCAATCAGCACAGCACTCTAACGTGAGGCAGAGATTTTTTCTTGACGAACTATCTTTTCAGCGCCTCCGCAATAAGCTTCGACGCTCTATTGTTTCTCTTTGAAACAACTTGCTCGAGCTCTTGCGATAGCTGAATGTTGCGAATCATTTTCCCCGCCGCGACTTGCGAGTTCCCCAGTTCTTTGGAGAGTCGGTACGGCAGAAGGCTGTCGTCAACGTGCTCGTACGAATGTTCCGCTCTGAAAAACAAAAAATACGCAAATGAGCAAAGCGCGGTGGTGGTGGTTACGAAAAAGGTTATCGGCTCCATCACGTCCCACCCGTATACTTGAAACGTCAAATACGAAAGCACCAGCATCTGGATGCCACTGCCGAGAGCTGTGAAAGCCCAAAACTCCTTCTCGCGGCGCACAGCCTTTTCTACCTTTGGAGAACTACGTTCGTGGGATTCAGCCAAAGCCAGCGCCAGCGTGCGACGAGTGTCTTCAAGGTCGTGGCTAACAGAAGAAACTAGAGGTAGGCCACCTTTAAGATGCACAGCGTCCACCACATTTTGCGGATCAGAGTAAACGTAATCACCAACCTCAACGACCATCTTTGAACGCTTCAGCACATCTAGGTATTCTGCTGCTTCGCGATGCGTCATTCTAAATTGCGGGGGCGTGTACTTCCCATTGATTAGCATAGCAAGGAAGTCGTCCCTCACTACGATCTTTTTGTCGCAAAGGTTGATCGCAGCACGAGCAAACAAGGTTTTCCGCAGAAACACTTTTGTCAGCATCTTGCTACCACTAATTTTATCAGATGTAGCTGAGCAGAAAAAGACGAAATATCAGCAAGAAGGGTGAAAGGAGGAAAAGGAAATGGGATGTATATAGAGACTCTTTATTACAACATAAAGCACATCAAAAACGAGAAGTCCTCATTTTTCCTTCAAGCATGTGCTTCTTCCCCAACAACAAAGAGAAACAGACGAATTCTAAAAGCATTGCCTAACGTTCACCTTAACACCGAGTCTGTCTGTATTCCATAACCTGTTCTATGAACTCTAGCAGAGTAAAAAGAATGCACTTTATAAGCTCTGCTCTCGGCAGCGCAGTGCGGAAGCTGCACAACAACACGTTTGCGCCACGCCAAAGCCGCTTCGTGATTTTGTTGTTGTTCCTATTTTCTTTTATCGTTTTGCTATTTTGTACGTATAGCTCAGTCGAGAGCACGTAATCAATAGACAAGGACGAATAGTAAAAATAAAACCTGCTAGCACACCAATAATTTGTCCTCCCGTTAAAACAGGTTTTTGTTTGTCGGCAAAAGATAAAAAAAACACAAACGTTAAATCTGATCCAAATAGTCACGCAGCTGATCCACGCTCAGAATCTCAAATCGGTTCTCAACAACGCGGCCAACCTGAGTGTTTTCGGGCGTCATCTGACCATCGAATCCTTCTTTGAGCGTGAGCAGTGCAGTGTGAACGGCGTCTTCTAGCTCCATATCGGCAGTGTAACGCTTTTCAAGAAACGATTTGGCGTCAGAGCTGCCGGTTCCAATAGCCGTCGCCTTCCAAGTCCAAAATGTGCCGCTCGGATCTACCTGATATAAGTGATACCCATTGGCATCGACTCCGGAGACCAAGAGCGAACACCCAAAAGGGCGTACGCCACCAGATTGGGTGAACTCCTGGTAGAGGGCACTGACCTGGCGCACAAGTTGGCTGACCGGGATCGGTTCGTGGTAAGTCAGCTTGTATTGCTGACAAGTCTTCCTTGCCGAGTCAATCAGAACACGGCAGTCAGGGCCCATTCCGCTGTAGGTACACCCAACATGTTCATCAAGCACAAACACTTTCTGAATGGAAGAAGCGTCCACTAAGGTAGACGGAGCCTTCTTCTTGGCAGCAATCACGACGCCATCAGTAGCCTTCACACCTAAAGCAGTCGTACCCTTGCCTGCGGCAGTCGTAGCATACTCGATCTGGACCAGTTTTCCAGAAGGACTAAATGTAGTCAATCCGTAGAACGCTTCAGACATGATCCTGCTTGGTTGAAATGGTAGTGTGGAGGAGAAACAAATCTATAAAATAGGGTACGGCTGTACTACGTTACAATTTCAAGAAGAAGAAAAAGACGGAGAAGACGAAAGAAATATTGAATCGAATGTTTTCTCCAAAAATACCGCTTTAGCTCTGGTTCTCTTAAATATGAGTGTGAACTGAGTTGAGAGTTTTGAATAGAAAGCACATAGTGTAAGCAGAAAAAAAAAGCAATGGAGTATTAATCGTGACGAGCAACGAGAAGAAAAAGAGAAGTTGAGGAGAGGAGCAGAAAAAAAAATGTGAAGTCGATAAAGTTCCGGTGGTGAATCCTTTATGCACACAGTTTGATGGTTTCAACCAAACAGCCGCAATACAAAGTTTTCAATAAGCACTATAATAAACCAGTGTTCTCACACATCGTAGAACCAGATTCCTTCGAAAAAGTATCTCCACCTCTCACATGAAAGCGACTTGGCAAACCAAGCTGCAGATATCAATCATAAAGACGAAAAACAGTTATGTAAAGCTACGGTGATATTTATAGCACCGTTTTCCGTCAAAAGAGCAAAACTATAACTACTGCTTTTCTTTTTGTGCTACCGCGCCGGCAGAAACCTCAAATGAGACAGAAATAAATCTTGAATACCTAACGAAAGCAAGATTTCTACTATACTAATAAAAAGAAGACTACATTACTTTGCCAATAATAATAGCGAAAAAATAATTTGGAAAGAAATGAAAAGAAAGCGAAAAAAAAAAAATACCAGCGAAAGGAAGCGTTGAGCTTCCTATTTTGGGGTGGTAGGAGGTGCTAAAAAGACGACATCACAAAGTCATCTTGATTCAAATCGCGACGAATTTTACTCTACAGGAACCGGCTTCTTGCCCAGGACGAACATATCGTGGAGAATGGGGGCCTTCTCGCGCCAGTCAGCTGCATCGGGGTCGTACAGGGGTTCGAAGTCGCGGTCTAGCCAGTACTCGTATGCACCCTTGCGATTCTTCTTCACGGGCTGGTAAAGAGGTTCAAACTCCTTCCAAGGCTTGACGCCGTACAGCACGGTGTGATCAAAGTGGCCAAGTGCGCGTTTCTCCTCCCATTTCTCGAGCCAGGTCTCGTGCATCATGCGCTCCACATACCAGCGCATCTTCTTACACATGGAGTGCTCCTCACCCCAGTTGCCGATGCAATGCAGCCATTGGTAGTAGGCAAGAATGCCGTTCTTCTGCTTGTTGATCGTTGAGCAGAAGCGTGGGTCGTTGAAGTCCGTGAAGTGAGGCATCGCCGGCATCTCCTCCCGCTGGATCTTGTACTTCCTATGGTCTGCGTGCGGCATTTTTGCGTTCTTTTCTTTTGGTAAGTGAAAAGGGGAGTTTTATTCTCTGCTAAAGAGACTAAACGAAAAGCACCCTGATCAGACGCATGTGGAGAGCAGATATGCGAGTTGGTGGTTTTTTTAGTGTGTGAGTAAATGCATCAGAAGAAAAAGAGAGAGAGAGAGAAGATAGCAAGGACGTGTTATCCGCAAACTGATTCAACGCATAATATAGACCCAAAATGGTGCACTCGCGGAATATAAAATGGGGCAGCTGCAGTACAGCGCGTACGTAAGTTCACTTATCCCAGCTCAACCCCGCACCAGAATAAAGTTTAGCACCGCGATTTCACTGGAAGCAGTAGAAAAACACCACGCGTGCTCATACGCATCGATGATTTGCATGAAAAAAAATTATTTGTTTGAAATAAACATAAAAGAAAAGAAAAGAAACCGTAACGCTACATGGTCACTTACTGGGAGGCAATCTTGCGGAGCTTCGAGTTGCCGTTAGCGAGACGGATGTCTAGCTCCAGGGCCTTGCGAACAATAGCCTTGCGCGACTTGGCACCAACAGTGTGGGAAATCACGCCGGCGTATTTGCGGTTCTGCATCACCAGCATGTACAGGTCCTGCACGTTCTGGATCGGGAAGTTCTTGAAACCAGAAGGAGTGATGTACTTCGTGGAGCGGTCGCTACCGTAGCCCTTGTTCGGCATGGCCTTCTGGCCTTTGTAGCGGCGGCGGACCGGGGAGTCCTCACCGCGGGGCTTGCGCCAGCTCGAGCTCAGCTGAGGGAAGACCTCGCAGCGATGGCGGGTGAAGCGCTTCGTGCGCTTCTTCACGATAGCCTTGGACACGATCGGCTTGACCATTTTTGCGTGCTAGGTTCTGGTTTTGTGCGAAGTTCATTTTTTTTTTACGTTGTGTGTGTGTGTGGAAGGGAGATTTGTTGGGGAAGAAAAGAAGCAGTTGAGATGAGAGAGAAATACAGTGAGAGCGAACGAGATAGGAAAGCGCGCCGATTGTTACCTTACACTCACCTACGAAAAACCACCTGCGATCACTTTTAGAATTCGTCGAAGGAAAGTCATTTTTTTTTTTTATGGCACTGTTGTTTCGAATGAAATATTAAACAGATTGGCATTTCAAATAACTGTTAATCAGCTTTCACTGAGAGGTTTTCTTTTTCTTTCAAGTGTTCAAATATTGAGTTAATCGCTTTTTTTTGGCGGTGACATCGTTTTCGAAAGTCATGACATCTAGACTCTTATTATAATTATCAAGCATAGCAGACGGGTTCTCGTAAATAACAACAACAAAAGGATGAAGCTGAAGTTACCAACTCTACGTTTAACAGCAGCTGCCTAAGCTAGCAGTGAAGTTTCGGCACCTTTGTGAAAAAGGGGAAAGTGCTCCGAAAAGTCAATTATTGTGTTTCCCTCTCTTAATGCTCTTTTTCGTGCGAGTTGTGTGGCGTTTCGGTGTTTGCATATCTGACTGCAACCGACTTGCTGCCGCAAAAAAAGCCATCTTATCGATTGCCGTCGTTACCGTAACGCACCCTTTCTTACAACGAATGTAAAACAGCGGCTCGTTCGACACCGGAAACTCACTTTCCTGTGGCGCGTGACTAGTCAAGTCGACCTTCCATCCAGCTGCAGTTATCCGCGACGCAACGCGATTTTCGTATGCGCGACATAGATCGCCATAACGCGTAGCGCACCTGGAGCACATTTGCAGCTTGTTCACGTCATTTCCTTTACCAGGCTTGCAGCAGAAAAGGCACACATTTCCTTTATCCGCCATTGCTTTGATGAAATAGAGCTGTGGTGCGAGCCATGAGGCGAAGAACACTTCTGTGAGATTGATAGTGTTGTTGAAGAAGGGAAAAAAAGAGGTGAAACGAGACTTGAACGGAAATACTTGAAGAAAAAAAGGACGCCAAGCTGCAGCAAAAGAGAAGATCCTTTACATTGCCGCCTTGTCAGTTCTTGGCAAGATACATCCTTTACTGATCACGTTTGCGTTAACTTGGTCGAGTGTCAACTGTTCCCACGCTAATATCTGCTCGGGTAGTGCTACATGCAGTATTCCCTTGTAGGCTCTCACGAAAAGAGATTAACAGTAGCGAACATCCGCACGCAAACATTTTGCGAACGATGTAGGTGCCTCTCAACAAGCGGTTTGGTTCCTCTGTCAAAGCGGCGGCGGCACAGTCGCACTGGGTGAGTTCCCATTGGGTGGTAGAATAGTTCGGATGGTGGTGGTGGAGGGGGAGGGGGGTTGTGACTGGGCTTCAAATGAAAAGAGCACACCTGATCAACGCTGCGCTTCCCTGTGGTAGTGGCCGGACTCTGTGCTAAGAATTTTGACCAGAAAGCTGTCGGCATTTCGCTCTAGCCGTTGACAATGTGGACGAATGTAAGAGAGACAGAGGCATCACCTTTTTACAGTGTGGCACTGTTTATCGGCACAACTTCCGGCCCCTTTCCGGTAATTAAAGAGATGAAGAACGTTGACAAAAAACACCCATGCTTCGTTTTATACCTTCTACGATATCAACTCTTTCGGGTATTTTTTTTTTCCGAGGGACTGCTACTCCGAATGTAAAAACGTTTTCGCCAGTTGATTTGCGTACTCACGTAGAGCAGAGAATAGCATTACCTACTAACATCAAGTGAGGTGCTCTCCTACATGTTTTAAACCTCAATTGCTCTTTTTCTGAGCGCTTCGATTGTCGCCTTTAAATGATTTCTTTTTTCCCCTTCCTCTTCGATAGTGTCTGTTGTTGAGCAATACCGCTCCACCACTCAGATTCTTGTGGCAGGCGTCACTTTTGCCTTTTTGCGTCTCACATCGCCAAACAACTCATTTCCTCAACAGCAAAATAATAATGTCTGCGCCAAAAGGCAGCGTGGACCAGAGTCGGAAGTTTGGATTTAAGGAATCACGTGAACAATATGAGCACCGCCGAAAGCAAGAGAAGCAAGCGAAATGGGACGAGAAATTAAGCAAGGAGAACCTGAACAAATTGCGCGAGGAACTCGAGTCTTTAGAACGCGCTCGTTTTCTTGCACCGCAACAAAATGAACGCAAACGTCTTGTATCTCGGATGATCAAAGATCTTGAAGCGAGGTATAAACCGACCAAGGAAGTAGTACCGACGTTGCAGAAAGAGCCGTCTCCGCCCCAAGACTCAGATTCCGAGGATGATATTCTCTTTTCTCGCAATACAACCATACACGATGAAGATAAACGACTTTTCATTCCACGAACCCTCCGAAAAAAGGAAGAGGCGAAGAGAGTCGACGTTGCAGATAACGCCCAGCAAACAGCTGAGGAGGCCGAAAAGGAGCTGCTGGCTGCGCGTGAAGACGACAGCGATCTTGACGCATTTTTGGATACTTTACAATAACGCGCAAAGCAAAGGATGATCTGTCGCGTTTGCATTTGAGCGGCCGTTCTTTTAGTTCTGCTACTTTCATCTTTTGAGTGAGAACTCTCAATTTAGAAATATGTTTGGTTTGCAATGCAAAAATCGAAAATCGCCCATTTTCGCGTCAATAAAACGTTCAAAGTCTACTCGGATTTCAACACTCCAGCAAAAGAAGCGTTTTTTTTTTGCTTGTATATGCTGGTTTACTATTCTCATGAGATGATCGTTCAATTTTTCTTCAGCGTTTATTTTCAGGTGATTATCTTATCTTTTCCGCAACCCTTTTCCTCCTTTTAAAACTCGATTTCTTTGACTCTCTCTTTTTACCTACATTTTAACACGACATTTCGTCGCTATCATTACCATGTAAATAGTTGTTTCTTTTAATAGCAACAATGGCTTCGACTGCTGCTCAATTATCGAGCAAGTTGTTGACCCAGCAGGGGTATCTTAAAGTTCTCGAGCAGCGGAAATGGTTGCAGAATTTACTTCACACGTTCACCTTAGAAGCAGACAAATCAGTTGAAAAACCTGTTGCTTCCCCTATCGTGCTTCCGTATGGATCTATTATTTCGGGCACTTCGTTTCGCGATGGTGATGCGGATTACGCAGTTGTGTTCTCTGCCGCAGACGAAATTGCACACAAGTATAATAACGTGGTCATTGAAAGGGAGAGGCAAGAGAAAGTGCTCGCCGATCTTTTCTCTCACATTCGGCAAAATAACAGCTCCGTCGATCTCCAGCCACAGCGCATTTTTCGCGCTAGAATGCCTATAGTGCAGTATGTTCGAAAGAGTCCAGAAGGCGATTCAAAGTTTGATCTTTCTCTTTCCATCGATGGCTTAAAGAATACTCTGCTGTTGCGCTCGTATATGGTCGGTGACCCACGACTGAGACTTGGCATTCTCTGTGCAAAGCAATGGGGAAGAGAGCACCAGGTGCTAAACGCTCGCAGAGGATGGATCTCTCCGTACGCACTCACAATAATGTACATTTATTTCATGAAAGCAACAGGTCGAACGCAATTGTACATAAGCGAAGACGACATCGCTGAACGTGTGAAGGTGATCGTTGATATTGTTGGCGGTACGGGAGGCAAATTGGAAGACGTCGAAGAGTTCGCTTCTATTCTTCCTTTCGACGACGTTGACACCTCTATTGTTCAACAAGACGTGCATGAATTTTTTAACTTTTATGGCGACCCTAGCTGTTTTGACTTCGACGTGTCTGTCGTTGATATCCGCTCGCGTGATCGATTTGCGACAAAGGATGAGTGGTGTGAGGCTATAAAAGACTTAGGCGAGGAAGATCGTTGGCATCTTTTGGGGCATGAAAATGTGCTTCTGCGAGATCCTTTTGAGCCGCATAGCCTTGGGCGCAGTGTGGATTTCTTTCGCGGAGAAGAAATGCGAGAAAAATTTAGAACAGCGGCCCTCAAACGAGATGCTCTGTCGTTTTTGTCGCCAGCCTGACCATTCGAGGCACACTTCGGTCTCGCAAAAGAAAATCAAACGAAACAAAAATGTTCCCAAAAGTAGCATATTTTTTTTTAAGGAGTGTTTTTAGTCACTTCCGTATGCATATGTTGTAGTTGCTGGTGTTTTGTTCAATAAAAGATTTTGTGCATTGGGTACAGCAGCCGATAACGCAGCACACTCTCACACAGCGGTATTCACAGTAGAAATAATCATAAAAATACTAATAAAAACGGTTGTATAATTATCACATTGTTCTTCTTTATTGTTGGTGAAGACGCGAAAAAGATCAAAATAGAGCAAAGATGTGCGTTTTTGTTTTCTATTCTGCTCAACTGTTCATCGAATGGGGTGGTACGACTACAAAGCGTTTTTCCCCTACTCTTACATTTACGGAAACATAGGGGAAAAAAAGAGAAGAGGGTTACTATCTCTGAATGCGTATGCCTTTTTTTTTCCCTGTTATTGCGCAGAACCGTTAGTACCACAAGAAATCACTACGTGTTAATACGATGCTTTTAAGCCTTCTTATGCGAAAGTCTTTCTTTTAAAACTATCTTTTTTACCTTCTCTCTTACTTCTTGTGATACGCTTTGTCATGTGTGACGCAACTCAAAAAAAAAAAACTACATATTTATTCATAACTATGTGATGTTCTACTGTCCATGAAAAGAGTACTAGACACAGAGCAATAGCTCATCAAATGGTACCAATTGTCGTTCCGACCGCCTGCGAGGACTGGTCCCTCAACATTGACAATGACTCGATGAGACGCTTTTGGTGGAACAACACCTACAGCATTACAGTTTGGGAAGAGACACTGAACATTGACAAGCAAACAGAAACAATCTCGGACTGCGACGTGTGGACCAAGTTCATTGAAGTGCAAATTCACTGCGCATTCAAAATTTGCTCCGTCTGCCATTGTCCTGAGGAAAGCGATGACATGAAAATCTGCTGCTACTGTGGCAGCACCGTGCATGATAACTGTTCGGAGCCCGCGACCTACGAGCAAATTATCTGGAAGTCGGCGAATCTCAACTTCAAGGAGCACATGCGCGCCTGTTTCCATTGCCAGGCTGTCGAATGCGAAGAACCTGTCCCTCCTACTTCCCCTGGACAGCCCGATAACGTTCGAAGAGCAGTAAGGCGAGCATTGACTATTTCCGACGAATATTCGCCAGAGATAACGAAGCAACTGCAGATGATTTCCGCAGAGGCAGAGAAATCGCCAAATGACGCCAGCCTGATGGCGGAGTTGCAGAAAACTGTACTCAGCTTTTTCCAGTCTCGCCGGTCGTTGCAGATGTTCCGCAAGGAGCGAGTCGCTTCTAAAGCCGGCGGCATCGGTGTCGTTGCGGCGCAAGACATCCCAGCATTCACAATCATCGGGGTTTACCCTGGCTACTTGGACTTTCTCAGTGGCGAGCAAGGCAAACTCGGCCGCCCCACCTCGAAATATGCGTTAATGGAATACAACTGCGCAAACTATTTCAACGAGGTGTTTGTCGAATTTCAAGACACTTTAACGCCCTTCATCAATGAGCCCAACGTAGATGAGAAGAGCAATTGCGCATGGATTCAGGAGCCACACAGGAAACATGGCCGACTGAGCGTGATGTGCGTCTGTGACGTGCACGAGGGCGAAGAGCTCACGATTAGTTATGGACCCATATATTCTCGCACTTATCCCTACTGCTACGACGCCTACGCCTTTCATCAAGCCGAAGGACAAGCGGCCGCTCCGTGTTTTTACCTGTGGCACTGGCCCACCATGGAAGAGTCAGACGCAAAATTTGTTTGTTGTGTCGCGTACAACGCCAAAGAGGATCGGTATGCCCTATGGCAGAACACAGCCTAGTTTTTTTTCTTCTTTGGGCAATCTATGACACAGGCAAAAAGATGCACTGGCCACAAAACATCGTGCGCTTGTGCGGAGTGTGGATGCGGGTACAGATACGCAGATTTGACATGGTTGTCAATCAGTATCTCTATCATACACGCGTTCGCACACGTGCAAAACTCTTTTTTCTTTTTGCTCCTGAAAAGGAAAGTGACAATGAAAAAGGAAATAAATGAATATAATGGAATCAATTCAGAAAATGAGATTCAGATGCACAAGATCCGCTATTTGTTTTCGTAGACGAAGGGTTCGAGCCACAAACTGACAGGGACTTTTTTCCCCTTCTTTTTGATTGCAGTTTCTCTCCCTCCTTGTAACAAGATCGATGGCTTGATAGACCACAAAGAAGATCGGCCAGTTGATTGCACTTTTTGATGGTTCGGTGGACTCTGTCTTTACCTGTGTAATATGTCACTTTTCCTCTTTTCTTCTTTTCTTCCTCACCTTTCCTCTTCCGCTTTTCACTTTGCCTCGAAACACAACTTCGAAATCGCAACTGTCTTAACTATGTACACCCACGTATCGTTGCTTTCGATTTGCGCTCGCTAAGTCTTTTGATATCGAGCAACAGGATTCGCTTTCCTCTTCTGTGTCACAATGGGCAAGAAGCGTCTCGGAGAGATTCAGCGCAGTGAGGACTTCTGCATTCCCACGGGGGATAAGGAGGCGAACAGCGTCCTCCCCGCCGAGGAATGGCCTCTGCTGCTGAAGAACTACGACAAGATGAATGTGCGTTCCACGCACTTTGCCCTTCTAGAGAGCGGCTGGTCTCCACTGCGTCGTCCTTTAGCTGAGTACATCAAGTACGGTATGATTAACATGGATAAGCCGTCCAACCCTAGCTCTCACGAGGTTGTCTCCTGGATCAAGCGCATCCTGAAGTGCGACAAGACTGGCCACGCCGGTACACTTGACCCCAAGGTCACCGGTGCTCTGATCATCTGCACCGACCGTGCTACTCGCCTTGTGAAGTCCCAGCAGAATGCCGGGAAGACCTACATCGGTGTGCTGCGCCTGCACGACACGGTGAGTCAAAAGAAGGTAGACGCCGCCTTGCAGCGGCTGACGGGTCCGTGCTTCCAGCGCCCGCCTCTGATTGCCGCAGTCAAGCGTCAGCTGCGAATCCGCAACATCTACTCCAACCAGCTGATCGAGTACGACAAACACCGCCATCTGGCTGTGTTCGAGACGCATTGCGAAGCCGGTACCTACATCCGTACCCTCTGCGTGCACCTTGGTCTGATTCTCGGCGCCGGTGGCCACATGGAGGAGTTGCGCCGCATCCGCACCGGCGTCATCACCGAGGACGATCACCTTTCGACGATGCACGACGTCATGGACGCGCAGTGGCTGTACGAAAACGAGAAGGACGACTCCTACCTCCGCCGCGTCATCCTGCCGTGCGAGTACCTGTTATCCAACCACAAGCGCATCGTCGTGAAGGACTCCGCCGTGAACGCGGTGTGCTACGGTGCCAAGTTGATGATTCCCGGTCTCGCCCGCTTCGACAACGGCATCGAGCGGGACGACTTGGTGGTGCTCATCACCACGAAAGGCGAGGCCATTGCTCTCGCGTACGCGGAGATGACGACGTCGCAGATGGCCTCCGTGGACCACGGTATTGTGGCGCGCAGCAAACGTGTGATTATGGACCGCGACACTTACCCGCGCCGCTGGGGTCTTGGCCCGATTGCGGTGAAGAAGCGCTCGATGATGAAGGACGGCCTTCTGGATAAGTACGGCCGCCCGCAGTCGAACACGCCGTCGGACTGGTTCTACATCGACTACGGCGGTGTCAAGACCAACGCCGAGGGCGTCCAGTACGGCCAGGCGCCGTCCAAGACGAGTGGTGTGAAGCGGCAGCGTGTGGCTGACTCCGATGACGAGTAAAGCGAGAGTAAGCGGATTATATATATTAAAAGATGGACAATTCTGCTCCGATTTCTGACACGGAACACAACGTGGCGATAAGGTTCTTTCTTTTTTCTGGTTGTTTGTTCGAATGGCTGAGTAAATTGTCTGTGGCGGACTCTCGTTTCTTTTTGTTTGGGTTTTCGCTCCTAATCTGGTTAATGGTTAAGGCTTTGTCCTCTTTTCTTTTTCTGTGGTAAAAATGTAATAAACACACGAGAACCCGCCCGTTACGGAGCCCCTTTTTCATGTCTTGCGTTCTGTCTATGTCCAGCTTTTCTCGACTTCATTAAACGTTCAAGAGAGGAAATACACATCTTTTCGCGAAGGGACGATTTCAACTACAGTCTATTAGAGGCTTGTGAGGTCGTAGGACCGGTCACTCCTTGAGCGAAAGTGATTTGTATAGCATTGATGAGAGGCTGGAAGTTGTTGCACTTCCGCACTGCACTGTGGCTTCTCATTTTCCCCTTTTAAGTCCTCCTTGCTTGTTTGTTTGCTTTTGGGAAAAGCAGCGGTAGGGTGATGCGATTGTGTCTGTTAAAAAACAAAAACAAAACAGATGAAAAAGTAAGCAGTGTAAAGCATATTTAGGGCAGCAACATGTGTACGCGTTTTGAAAGGTTTACATTTTGGAGCGACCACCTTTTTTTAAAAGAAGCTGCAAGGACTTCTAATTTGCGTGCAGAAGCTCTTCGTTGCGCGGGGAGGGCAACCGCGCGTTCGGCTGTTGCCTGTTACGCCCTTGTGTGATTCTTTTCGTTCTGATTCTTCGATCCACAGAGCGCACGTGGTTGCCTCCTTGTCCTGCCAGTGAATGGCCTCACAGTTTTCTATTGCGTGGATATGATCGCGCGCGTGCTCGTCAATGCGCCGAAGTCGGTCAACTCGTTGAAGGATTCTTCAGCGTCGTTGATGATCTTTTCACATTTTCTGCTCTACCGAACCTCTTTTTCCCCTTCTCTTCATTTCAAAACGCCTTGTCGATGAAATTAACACCGGTAGAACGCGAAAAGAAAAGAAAAGAAAAAGGGAATTGCTCGTGTCCGCTTTTCAAAAATGTCTGGCAAGCTGCGTCTCTACAAGGAGAAGCTGGAGGGCTACAACCGCTTCTACTCCATTGTCAAGACCATCAAGATGGTGACACTGGCCAAGTTCCGTCAGGCGCAGGTCCGCATCAAGACGCGCGATTACACGCTCCGCTACACCGAGAAGGCGTTTAGCAAGCCGGGCCACCCCGCCGGCGACCCCGCGCAGAGCAAGGTGGTGTACATCCCCGTGATGACGAACCGTGGTTCCTGTGGTGCGCTGAACAGCAACGTCGTCAAGGTCGTTGACCAGGTTGCGTCTAGCCGCGCCTATATCATGCCCCTCGGCAAGCGAGGCTTTGACTCCCTGTCCAAGCTGTACCCGGCGTCGTTCAAGATGGGTATTGTGAACGACATGCACGAGCCGATGCACTTCGCCTATGCCACGTACGTGTGGGAGAACGCGCAGCAGCTGTGCCCGGACGCGGACCACACGCACATCATCTTCCACCGCTGCATCAGCGCCGGTTCGCAGAAGCAGTGCTACTACAACATCCCGGCGTACGACAAGTGGAAGGAGGACCTAGCCGACGCCTCCAGCACTGAGAACCAGAAAAGCCGTTACCTCTTTGCCAACACGCTGCTGGACGAGGACGAGCAGATGATCCGCGACTTCTACGACTTCCATGCGACCCTGGCAATCCTGAACGCTGTTTGCGAGAACGAGCTGTCGGAGCAGGCTGCTCGTCTCGTTGCTGTGGAGGGCCAGCTGTCCAATATCAGCGCTCTTCAGCAGAAGACAAGCTCTCTGTACAACAAGACGCGTCAGAGCAGCATTACCTCGTCGCTGATCGAGATCATCTCGGCTATGACGTCGCTGGAGGGCAACGCCGCAAAGGGTGTGCAGCGCACGAACTTCTGGGAGGGTGCGAGGATGAAGTAAGGCACCTGTGATGAACCACGCCGTTCCATCACGCTCTTTGGTCCTGTCTCTTCTACGTGGTAAAACACGGGAGAGGAAGAAGTTTCCAACGAAGAGGCACTGCGCCAAACTGTCGGAATTTATGTTATGTTTTCTGTTAGGGTAACTTGCCTAACAACACACACACTAGTATTTTAGGAATATCGGCGTGTCGACTTTTTCATATGATTAGGATTTTAACAAATATTCGTACTTGAAAACGAGAGAGCGAAAGCAAACACAGTGGCAAGCGCGACGGCTACGTGATCTGCAAGATGCAGGCAAGGAAAGGAAAGATGGACGCGTGCGTGCATGTTGCCTGAAGAGGCTGAATCGCTATGCGTCTCGGAGCTTCCTCTTGATGGTTTCGCACCAATGACGCGTTTGTCGCGGGTGCTACGAGGTCAACCAGGTCTAACCAAGTGGAAGGAAAGGAGGAGTTAATTCACCTTCCGAAAAAGTACGCCGTGTGTTTCTTTGGGCAATATTGATTTGCTTCTCTCGAGCAGAAGCGTCTTGTTTACGAAGCACGTGTGGACGGAGTGGTATGCACACGATGTGGCTCGTTTCTTCGATCATTTCATGTGACTTCACTTCTCTCATTGCTCTTCTTTCTCGCTTTCTCTTTTTCTTTCTGCGCATTCCGTCTCCCCCTCCCGCCCCCTGGCCGCTTCTTTGCGCACGTCGTCTGCCTTGCATTATTGTTATCATTTACCCTTTTTTTTTTACCGCACAGGTTCAAATGAAGCTCAACATCGCGTATCCCCGCAACGGTACGGTGAAGCAGTTCGAGATCACGGACGACGTGCTGCGCCGTGTTCAGCTGCAGGACTACCGCCTCGGCAACGACGTCGACGGTGCCATCTTTGGTGAGGAGTTTAAGGGCTACATCTTCCGCCTTCGCGGTGGCTCGGATAAGGATGGTTTCCCGATGGTGCCCGGCGTGCTGGCCTCCAGCCGTGTCTCGCTGCTGGTGAAGCGCGGTGCGATCGGCTTCAACACCTTCCGTGGCTACCAGGGTGAGCGTCGCCGCAAGAACGTGCGCGGCTGCGTGCTGGCGAGCGACATTGCGGTCGTCAACGTGACCATCTCCAAGGTCGGCGACCAGCCGATCGAGGGCGTCACGGACACGACCGCGCCGCGCCGTCTCGGCCCCAAGCGCGCCAGCAAGATCCGCAAGCTCTTCAACCTGTCCCGTGGCGACGACGTGCGCAAGTACGTGGTGCGCCGCCGCGTGTCGAAGGACGGCAAGAAGGACCGCATGAAGGCCCCGAAGATCCAGCGCCTCATCACGCCGAAGATCAAGGCCCGCCGGTACCAGAAGGCCCAGTCCGCCCTCGAGCACGTGCGCCGCTCTGCCGCGGAGCGCCGTGAGTACCTGCGCCTGATCGCGTCGCACCGCCGTGCCCTGCGTCAGCGCGACCACGCCAAGAAGCACACCCGCAAGGTGCAGGCCCAGCGCGCTGAGGTGGCTGCCTTCCAGAAAAAGTAAGTTAGCTTCGACTGAATCAAATCCACTTTTCCTTTTCTCTGATTTCAGAAACAATTAAAAATAGTAATGATAATGGAAATAGAGAGCCGTAGTTATGTGGGAGAGAGAGAAGCACGTACGGTCCTTCTGTGCTCTTGCTCCCTTCACCGACAAGCCATCTTTGCGGTGTTCGTTCGATATACCGACAGCATTCAGCGCTTTGCAGGCGGTTAAGTAGTAATATTAGCGCTACGGCTTCACTCCACCCCGCTTTTCATGCCTTTTTTTTCTTCTCCATCACCCATCTTCTGTCGGTGGACTGCCTGCTTCTTTTTTTCATTTCACTTTCTCACTCTTCACTGCTTTTCCGTCTTGAAACTACCTGCATCACATCTGCTTTGCTGTTCACAACTATTCCCTTTTAATAACTTCTCCCTCCACGTTTCAGTTTAAGCGAAGTCTCGTACTGCAAGACTTTCTTTTCTCCTAGTGAGTTTCATCCCAAGTCCCCCCCGCAATCGCCGGGCGCCACGCGGTTCGCCGTGTTGTTCATCAGCAGCGCAATAATCAGACCGTACAGCCCGAGCGCTTCCGCGAAAATCAGCATCAGAATCATCGCCACGAAGATCTTCTCTTGCTTGCCGTACGCGCGCGCAGACGCGTCACCGGCAATACCAATAGACAGGCCAGCAGCGAGCGACGAGAGACCGGCGGCGAGGCCAGCACCGAAGTGCATGTAGCCCGAGAAGGCGGAGTACGAGTTGTCCGCGGCGTTGATGTTGTTGTTGATGATCACGGACACGATCAGGCCGTAGATACCAAGAATACCGGCCATCACCACCGGCACGATGCCACGCATGATGCGGTCGGCGTGCAGGATGCCAAGGTGCGCGACACCGACGCCAGACTTCGCGGTGCCGTAGGCGGAGCCCAGGTTGGCGAAGATCAGGGCAGACGCGCAGCCCATCGAGCCGAAGAACGCGGCCGACTGCGGGAACTTGTCGTCGCACGACACCGCAGCGGCGCCACCGAGCAGCACGGCAGCGGCGGCAACGCTCGCAACCTGGTACTTCATTCCTGCACTCCTTAAGCGAATAGTAGAGGTGTCCAAGTCGTTGACATCTCAGGGAATGAAAGTTACACGACGATGCGACGGCTGTACTTTTCTTCCCCTCAACGCATACTTCTGATTGATATCTCAAGTGGTGTTTTTTTTTTGGCGACTGTTTCTTTCAGCGACGTATTTTCTCCTTTTTTATAGTTGCTTTTCATTGGAAGGTGTGGAGCACGCATTGTGTGTGTGTGTGTGCGGGGCGGCAGATGTGGTGAGTGGCGCAGCTCTCAGGTGTCCAGCGGAAGGGGCGCGCACTTGTGGCAAATATTGCTGATGTGAGGAATAAAAAGGCCTCATTTGATGGTTTATGGGGGAGGAAATCGAGTTAATCATTATATCGTTCGAGTGTTCTTGTTGTCTGTGATGCGTCAACTAAGTTGTAGAAAGAAGGAAAACACTTCATAGTGAGAATGAAGGAGGTACTGCCGTGCCGCTGGTGCACCCACGATTTCCTTCTGGTGAGTTTTGCCTTCTGTTCCCGTGCACCAGTGTCGCTGCGCGTCGAAAAGCGTGGCGGCGCTTTGGTTTCGCGGTCGTGCCCTATGATAATGATCGGAGGTGCTAAACCCAGCTGTGTGCCTCAGCTGACTTGAGTCAAGGAGCATCAGCAGGACCAAACACAAGGTCCTTCAACGGTAGTGCCTTGCGTGTGTGTTTTTGAGGTCGAGGATGCTTCGAAAGAAGCGCGTATCCACAGAACATGCCTTCTTTAAATGGTACAAATCAGAAATGGATAACTGCTCACCTGTAACGTCGGCCCCTCTAAACTAATGTCTGCCCCGTATATTGCACGTACTCCACCTTTTGCCTTTTCCTCATGCCGTTTTTCTTTCTCTCCACAACTCCGTTTATCAAACTCGGTTTTCTCTCCCCACCTCATCAAGCCAGTTCGACGTCGAAGTCATTTTTTATTCCCCGTTAGCCAAAAACTTTCTCTTTATTCCCGTAGCGAAACTTCTTTGTGTAATCACGAGGACGGCAATAAACAGCAACTCGTTTCCGGCCGGGCGCCACGCGGTTCGCCGTGTTGTTCATCAGCAGCGCAATAATCAGACCGTACAGCCCGAGCGCTTCCGCGAAAATCAGCATCAGAATCATCGCCACGAAGATCTTCTCTTGCTTGCCGTACGCGCGCGCAGACGCGTCACCGGCAATACCAATAGACAGGCCAGCAGCGAGCGACGAGAGACCGGCGGCGAGGCCAGCACCGAAGTGCATGTAGCCCGAGAAGGCGGAGTACGAGTTGTCCGCGGCGTTGATGTTGTTGTTGATGATCACGGACACGATCAGGCCGTAGATACCAAGAATACCGGCCATCACCACCGGCACGATGCCACGCATGATGCGGTCGGCGTGCAGGATGCCAAGGTGCGCGACACCGACGCCAGACTTCGCGGTGCCGTAGGCGGAGCCCAGGTTGGCGAAGATCAGGGCAGACGCGCAGCCCATCGAGCCGAAGAACGCGGCCGACTGCGGGAACTTGTCGTCGCACGACACCGCAGCGGCGCCACCGAGCAGCACGGCAGCGGCGGCAACGCTCGCAACCTGGTACTTCATTCCTGCACTCCTTAAGCGAATAGTAGAGGTGTCCAAGTCGTTGACATCTCAGGGAATGAAAGTTACACGACGATGCGACGGCTGTACTTTTCTTCCCCTCAACGCATACTTCTGATTGATATCTCAAGTGGTGTTTTTTTTTTGGCGACTGTTTCTTTCAGCGACGTATTTTCTCCTTTTTTATAGTTGCTTTTCATTGGAAGGTGTGGAGCACGCATTGTGTGTGTGTGTGTGCGGGGCGGCAGATGTGGTGAGTGGCGCAGCTCTCAGGTGTCCAGCGGAAGGGGCGCGCACTTGTGGCAAATATTGCTGATGTGAGGAATAAAAAGGCCTCATTTGATGGTTTATGGGGGAGGAAATCGAGTTAATCATTATATCGTTCGAGTGTTCTTGTTGTCTGTGATGCGTCAACTAAGTTGTAGAAAGAAGGAAAACACTTCATAGTGAGAATGAAGGAGGTACTGCCGTGCCGCTGGTGCACCCACGATTTCCTTCTGGTGAGTTTTGCCTTCTGTTCCCGTGCACCAGTGTCGCTGCGCGTCGAAAAGCGTGGCGGCGCTTTGGTTTCGCGGTCGTGCCCTATGATAATGATCGGAGGTGCTAAACCCAGCTGTGTGCCTCAGCTGACTTGAGTCAAGGAGCATCAGCAGGACCAAACACAAGGTCCTTCAACGGTAGTGCCTTGCGTGTGTGTTTTTGAGGTCGAGGATGCTTCGAAAGAAGCGCGTATCCACAGAACATGCCTTCTTTAAATGGTACAAATCAGAAATGGATAACTGCTCACCTGTAACGTCGGCCCCTCTAAACTAATGTCTGCCCCGTATATTGCACGTACTCCACCTTTTGCCTTTTCCTCATGCCGTTTTTCTTTCTCTCCACAACTCCGTTTATCAAACTCGGTTTTCTCTCCCCACCTCATCAAGCCAGTTCGACGTCGAAGTCATTTTTTATTCCCCGTTAGCCAAAAACTTTCTCTTTATTCCCGTAGCGAAACTTCTTTGTGTAATCACGAGGACGGCAATAAACAGCAACTCGTTTCCGGCCGGGCGCCACGCGGTTCGCCGTGTTGTTCATCAGCAGCGCAATAATCAGACCGTACAGCCCGAGCGCTTCCGCGAAAATCAGCATCAGAATCATCGCCACGAAGATCTTCTCTTGCTTGCCGTACGCGCGCGCAGACGCGTCACCGGCAATACCAATAGACAGGCCAGCAGCGAGCGACGAGAGACCGGCGGCGAGGCCAGCACCGAAGTGCATGTAGCCCGAGAAGGCGGAGTACGAGTTGTCCGCGGCGTTGATGTTGTTGTTGATGATCACGGACACGATCAGGCCGTAGATACCAAGAATACCGGCCATCACCACCGGCACGATGCCACGCATGATGCGGTCGGCGTGCAGGATGCCAAGGTGCGCGACACCGACGCCAGACTTCGCGGTGCCGTAGGCGGAGCCCAGGTTGGCGAAGATCAGGGCAGACGCGCAGCCCATCGAGCCGAAGAACGCGGCCGACTGCGGGAACTTGTCGTCGCACGACACCGCAGCGGCGCCACCGAGCAGCACGGCAGCGGCGGCAACGCTCGCAACCTGGTACTTCATTCCTGCACTCCTTGAGAGAGCAGTGGGGCAGGTTAGAACGTCTCTGTACGGTGGTACGTTGTTGACTATTTCGAATGCTGCAATGGTTTGCGTTGGTGAAGCGTCGGGGTCTTACCTTCTTCTTTTTCTTTTTTTGAGTTTGTTTATCGTCCGAGTTGTTGCTGGGCGATTGCCAGCGTCGCGGTCATGGCCAATATTTCGTTGTTTTAGATCGGAATTTGAAGGAGTCATCTGCGCTGTTCTCTTTGGCACGTCTCACTCTGCGTCAACGCGAGAAGGAGCTTGTGCGGTTCTGCGCTCCACGGCTTTTTCCTCCACGTGCGTGGGCTTTCACTACTGCGCACACGTCGTAGTGCGTGTCCAGCAAGGAGTTGTGTGCGGGTTATTCCATGTCTCCGCCGTTTGTTTTTGCACCCCGAGAAGGGCTCTCTCTTTGTGTGTGTGTGTGTCTTTGAGTCGAGTAGCACGCAACCGTAGTGATCAAGAAACGGTCAAATTGAGATCACACCAAAGGAGTCGCGGGGAAACACGCGCTCCCGCCTCTATAAAGCGATCAGTCAGCTGAGCGGACGGGGTTTTAGTGAAGTCGTTTTGAATTATGCGTGCTTTGCGTACTTCGCGGAAATCGTCCTTGCTGTTAGATTGTGGGGTATTCCTTGTGTCTTTCTAACAATGCGGCGGTTGTCTATTTTATCTTCGATGGGCTCTGCAACCGCAGTACCACACCATTCTTCTACCGTTTCATTTCGGAAGTATGGGAGCACCTGCTGATGATCAACTCGTTTCTCCACACTCGCGTCGTTCTGTGAGGCACAAACAACTTATTTATTTTGCTTTCCAGCCCTCTTTCTTGTCTCCTCATCCATTCGGTGATATTTATTAACGTTCAGCCGATTTACGCGTACGCACCACAAACGCCCGTCGTTTGCCCGTCTTTTTGGCCTGTGCTGTCACTCTTTGCAGGGCATCAACGAAAACCAAGCATTCATTTTCTTTCATTTCTTCTGTATCGCAGCTTCACAACACATTCGGCATGCTGCGGAAGTTTGTATTTAACGGGGCCCGGCATCACGGCGGCAAGCTGGGCCTGCTGTTCCTTCTGCTTGGTATCGCGATGCTGTGCCTGCTGCCCATCCTCCAGTCTCGTGTCGCCAAGGTCGATGAGAACGCCGTGGGCCACATGTACCCGCAGTTCACCTTCGGACCCATTGACCAATACCTGGACCCCGCTGTATCCCAACCGCAGCGGCTGGTGCGGGGCCGGCGCTCACCCGGCTCGGAAATTGTCGCCGTGTACGTGAACACCGACTACGCCGCTGCCACGGCTATTGCCAACGCGCTCATCGAAGTTCTTCGCACCAAGGACAACCTCGCCTGCGACGTGCAATTCTACTTTGTGAACAGCACGGAGGAGTGGCCGATTCCGCATTCCTACACACGCGCGGCCATCGTGCTGAACATGTCCTCCATGTACAGCAAGTATTTGTGCTATGACACGTTGGGAAGCAATGGCATCCAGCCGAATCAGGACTTCCCCAACGCTGCCGTTCAGCATGCGTCTCATCGTAGCTTCATTCCTAGTTACCTGTGCCAGAAGCCTGGCGGGCCACCGAGTAAGTTGCAACACCCGTTTTGGCACTACTGGTCGTACCTGGAGGCGTCAATGCAGCTTGCCTCGCACCCGCAGCGGTGGCATCAGATACCGACGCACAGCATCAACACTCTCACCATTTCCACCAACCCCTACTACGGTGAGTCCACCGCAAGGCCAAACAGCGACGTCCCTCACAATCTGGTCGACCTCGTCCTTTTGATAATTATCTCCCTCAACGGCCTAGAGGAGAAATTCCACCACTCCACCTTTGTGTGGCTGCCTGTGTCGTTGCGGCGGTACGTGGAGTACGACGCCGCACAGTTCTGCATTGTCCTCTTTGTGGCATCCATCTTCTCCACGGCCTACGCGGAGTATCAACTGCGAGGCATCACCATTACCCCCTTGTTTGTGGGCCTTCTCCTCACCTCAGCCGGTGCGTCCGCCGCCTTTCACGCCGCGCAGTGGCCCGGTGTAGCGGTGGCGTCTCTTCTCTTCGCTGGCGTGCTGCGCGTTGTCATGCCGCACACGACGAGCGGAATGTGGCTGAGCTTCAACGCGATTGCGCTGTGCTTGCTGATTATCCTCCAGCCCGAGTGCGGCCTCGTTGCGGGCTGCGCTGCTGCTATTCAGGTCTCTTTTATCCACCCAGCTCTTCGCAATCGCTTTGCGATGGCGATGGGCACCGCTGTTGCGTGGGTACTGTGCTACTACTTTGTGTGCCATCTGCACATGCCGCTGTTGGGATTGGCCAGCATTAGTGAGTTGTTTGTTAGCTTTGTTGTGTACCCCAACGCCGTGTGGATCACAAGCCGCTTCCTGTGCACTGTGCTTTAGAACTGTGTGGCGGTGGGCGAGATACACCTGTGGTAAAAGAAAGAAAAAAGAGAAGCACTTTGGATATTCACCCACATCAGGCGTCATCATCATGGTAGCCGTTTTCTCAAGAAAGAAAGATATATTGTGACATTTGAAAACGCTTAAGTGGGACTTCCTCAACAACCCACTTCTTCTCACTTCTGCAGTTGTGAAGGAAGCTGACAAGGAGCTCTCATGTCTCGAGAAGGTTCTTTCTTTCTTCCCTTCCCGTGCACCGGTGCACCGGCGCCTGATCCAAAGGCGGACTCGGTGGCACCGTGTTTTTTTTTCTCGTGTCTCCCTTTACGTTCTCAACGATTCTGCTCTTCAATGCTGTGGCGACTTTGACCGTTTCTGTTTCTCCTCTCCCTCCTCTCCCTCCTCTCCCTCCTCTCTCTCTCTTCCACCTCACCCTTATTCGCCATACCCACGTTTGTCGCCCAACGTGCGTGAAACTGATTGCATTCGCTTGTTGTTTCGCTCACCATCACGTGTAGGTTTACTAGGCAAGATGTCGAAGCGCACCGTTAAGATGGGCGTGATGGGCCGCTACGGCACCCGTTACGGCGCCAACCCCCGTAAGCGCGCCAAGAAGCTCGAGGTGTCCCAGCACGCGAAGCACTTCTGCTCCTTCTGCGGCAAGTTCGCGTTCCGCCGCAAGGCTGTCGGCATCTGGCGCTGCGACGGCTGCAGCAAGACGGTGGCCGGTGGCGCGTACACCCTGAGCACCCCCAACAACAGCACCGTCCGCTCCACGGTCCGCCGTCTGCGCGAGCTGGCCAAGATTTAGTGCCGTAAACCGGTTTCGTCTTGTTTTTCTTTTTGCAATTCCACTTTCGTTAAAACAGCACCAACAGCGGCAGACCCTCTATTGAAGAGTCATGGGCGGAAGGAAGGAAATCCAAAAGGAGGCTTCGCGCGCTCTCTTGCGTTAGTGCTGCCGCCTCTCATCATGGGTTTTGGGGCCAGCGAAAGAATTGGGGGCGTTTACGTCTCGCCTTGAGTTGGTGTTGCGCTTCGCCTCCGAGGACATGCCAATGCTTCGGAGATGAAAATGCGTTCGTTCACTTGAGTTCTCCATTTACGATTTCATCTTTCTTTCTCTCTTACCCCACTCGCACTTCGTTCTCGTCCTCGTCTTTTGCCTCACGGTGTGCCGTGCTCACCTCGCTGTACGCGTGTTATGCCTTTGTGGTTGGTTCGTCTGCGTCAGCAAACTCCTGGTTCGTTTTTGAAATTACTGTTCGCTTTATCACTCCATTCGGCTATCGTTGAGGGAACCTTGTTGCGTACTCCTCTGTTTTTTGTTCTGGTTCACACACACACACACACACCATCACTTTATTGTTACTCCTATTCCCCCCCCCCCTACGTCCAAGCAACAACACACAATGTTCAGCTCCAAGTCCGAGTACGATCGTGGTGTGAACACGTTCAGCCCCGAGGGCCGCATCTTTCAGATCGAGTACGCCATCGAGGCGATAAAGCTGGGCAGCACAAGCCTGGGCATCCAGACCCCGGAAGGCGTCGTCCTGGCGGCAGAGAAGCGCGTGCCGTCGACGCTGGTGGTGCCGTCGAGCATGAATAAAATTATGGAGGTGGACGGCCACATCGCCGCGGTGATGAGCGGGATAGTGGCTGATGCCCGCATCCTCGTCGAGCACGCCCGCGTGGAGTCGCAGAACCATCGCTTCACCTACAACGAGCCGATGTGCGTGGAGTCGTGCACGCTGGCGACGTGCGACTTATCGATTCAGTTTGGCGAGAGTGGCGGCAAGCGCAAGCTGATGTCGCGTCCTTTTGGTGTCTCGCTGCTCATAGCCGGCGTGGATGAGAAGGGGCCGCAGCTGTGGCAGACGGACCCGAGCGGCACGTACACACGCTACGACGCCCAGGCTATCGGCGGCGGCGCTGAGGCTGCGCAGAACGTCTTTACAGAGCGCTACCACCGTAACATGACGCTGGAGGAGGGCGAGACGCTCGCGGTGGACATTTTAAAACAGGTGATGGAGGACCAGCTGTCTCCCGAGAACATCGAGGTTGCTGTAGTCCGCGTGGATGACGGGAAGCTGCACATGTACAACCCGACAGAGATCAAGGCTATCATTGCGCGCCTGGCCGAGTAAGCGCGAGGCAAGAAGTGCTGTTCCCCCTTTCTATGTTATTTCCTTTATTGACGTCCTTTCTTTTTCGCTCGCCGTTGGCGTTCTTGACGATGTTCGCTTCTTGAACGGTGGAGCGCGCAGGTTTCTCCTATTTGTCGTGGTGCGAGTCAGCGAATTTGATAGCAAAAGCAGAGATGCGTGAATGTGAAGGAGACCTTTTTCTCGTGCACACCCAGCGGTTGTTTTGTCGGAGAATTCTCTTCTGCACTCCAGGAAATGCAAGACAGTTCTGAAAATCCGCCGAAACGGCCGTGTGGCCCGAGCACTTGTAACGGCGCATTGCCGCTGTGAGTGGCGTATTGATCTTGGCCTCCACTCACACATGCAAGAAGAAAATCCAGCACAACACTCGTTAACCTGCAACACCATAGGAAAGAGTTCTCACATTCTACCTATGCAGCTTCTCAATGGCAGTCTCCTAAAACTCTGCATCAAGTCTTTTTCTCCCACCACCTATACCTCTTCTGTTTCCTTCTTTGCCTTTCTACACTTTCTGTATTCCCCACTCTTTCTCTCTCTTTTCCCTTTTGAACGGTGCGGAAGATACTCAATCAGTGAGTGACTCGTTGGTGCTTCGACGCCTTGGAGTTCGAGCTACTTCGTCTACCTTCTCGCGTTTGCATCTTTAACTATCAAAATTTATACAGTATTGGGCTGGCGTTCATTTAACGGTCATTTCGCATTGAAGAATAGTGCTTCTTTGTAACCACCTCTTCCTTTCTGTGCGTGTCGTTTGCGTCCTCTATTTCACGAACTTTAGAGATTCTATCAAGTAAAGAAAATGTCTGCTGCCGCAACCATCACCACCGCGCAGGCGCCGCCGCCGCAACTTCCGGAGCCGGAGCAGGCGTCCCCGTCGCAGCTGGACGCCGACCCCAACGTGCAGTCCGCCATCCGTTTTCTGCAGGACCCGCGCGCGCGAAACGCACCGGTGGAGTCGCAGATTCGCTTTCTCAAAGGGAAGAGCATGTCTGATGCACAAATCAAGCACGCCTTCTCCAAGGTAGGGAGAATGGTCACACTCGAGAAGATCGCGTCGGTGCGGGCACCAGCGCCGATGAACGCCGCGCTCGGCGGCCAAGCAGCCACGAACAACTTCCAGAGTGGCATGTCCACACAGATTAATTCGCGTCCGCTGTCCCCGGTGGCCCCGCCCACACAGCCGCAGTACACGCAGACGCTCTTCCCTCGTTCCCCGCCACCGCCGCCGGAGGAGCCGCAGGTCAAAGGCGTGGACTGGCGCGATGTGGTGATCGGCACCGGCGCTGCGATCCTCGCCGGCGTGGCAGGCTACAAGCTCTTCAACCGCTACTCCCCGTATGAGATTCGGCGCAAGAGCGACAAGAAGCCGCCGCGGGCCTTCCGGGGCCCCTACGCCGGTCGTCAGCGGTCCATCCCCAACGGATCGTCGGAGAGCGAGACGGACGGCTCCGGCTTTCCGCCACCGCATTTCCAGGCGCCGCCGCTGCCGCCGCCCCCGACGACGGCGCCTGGTGCGCTTGGGCAGGTCGCTGCTGCTGCCGCGGTCGGACTCGCTGCCGAGGCGGAGGAGCTGAAGAAGTTGCAGACGCAGCTGGAGGAGACGAAGGAGGCGTTGACGACCGAGCGAAAGAAGTGCGCCGACTTGGCCGTCTCCTCCGCCAAGATTCGCGCCGAGAAGCAGCAGCTGAGTCGAGCCAACGACCGCCTGACGCAGCAGCTGGACGAACTCAAGAAGGACATGGAGAAGCTGGAGGAGGAGAGGGCGGCCGCTGCGGGGGAAGGGAAGTTGACCGCCACGGAGGAGGAGCCGCCGAGGGAGTCGTCTTCCTCACTGGTGAAGGCGGCGGACGAGACGGCGGAGGGGCAGACGCCGCCGGTGGCGGTGTCTCCCGTGGTGGCCGCTGACCCACTCAACGCGACGGCGGTGGCGCCCCTCGCTGCGGCACCAGAGACGGCCGCTGCCCCCGTTGTTGCTCCCGCTGCTGTTACTGCTGCGGCTGCGACTGCCGTGTCGACGTCGCCAGCTGCGGAGCTTCCAGCAGCGCCGTCAACGTCGTCGCCCGTACCTGAGCCGGCCGTAGAGGTTGCGCCTGCACCTATTGCGGCTGAGGCTGCCCTGACGGCTGTGCCGGAGCCGATGGCTGTGCCCGAGGCTGCGCCGTCGAATCTTGCCGCTATGGTGCCGCCGGCTTTTCTGACTCCAGATCCGATCAAGCCGGGGGCCGCTCCTGCTGCCCCGACGCACTGAGAGGCGGGGCCACGCAGAGGATCAGGTTTTTCTTCCTCCACTCCGCCGCCTCTTCCATTTCGGTAAGATGCAATTGTCTGCACTGCATCGACGGAGGCGTTGGTGGGAAGCAAAGGGAGCACTCGCTTGGTTCCTCCTCCATTGCTGGTTTCCTGCGTTGCTGCCGGCCACCGGTCTCCAAACAAAAAAGACACCTACTTAATTAAAGATGAATGAAATGCTTGTTGACTCTAACCTGTCCACCATCAAATGCAGACAACACACGTCTTCGCTGGTGATGGTGGACTTACACAAACGTATCTTTTTTAATCGAAAACACCAAGAAGAAAGAATAATCCGTGGCTTGCAAGGAGACGCACTCGTGGCTGCGTGACGCGCAGCGCTCCTCACCTGAGTCGTGTCAGCGGTGAACGACTTCATTTCCGGTTTAGCAGCGCAGCAACACCTGAAGGGGTGCTTAGTTAGGCATTGGCACTGCACAAACGGGAAGCGGCTTTGAGAGGTTTCTCGTACTGAAACGACGCACCTGCGGCTTTCTGGTGACACTTATTTCTGAAGGGCGCACTTCGCCCTTTTACATGGTGAGACTCACCAGCATCATCGTTCTCCGCTCTTAATACTCCTTCTTGACATGCGTCTCACAAGCGCACCGAGAACACACAAAGCTGTTGGTTAGAACTGGAAGGACACCCATCGAATAGAGACATATGAAGGCAGATGAGCTGAACCCAGGTGGTGGGGCTGCGCTGCCGATTTCACTAGAGCCGCATCCACCAGCGGCATTCATCAAGCGCTTTGCCATACTGGACTCTTCTGACGAGGGCGATATCGATGTTCCCGCTGGTGACGGGTCCGCCCGCTCGGCAAACCACTTCGATAGCATCAAACTTGACTGGTCCGGCATGCTGGCCGAGAGCAGCGACTCCACGCCCACTCCTCCGCTGCGTGCCAAAACCGCCCTCGCGGCGCCGCTGAAGCCGATGGGGGAGCTCGTCTCCACAGAAGACGGCGTCAACGCACCGGCACCACCAACTGCAGCGAGTGTGCCTGCTGCAACTGGCACAACGAAGCTCATTTCGTCATTTCGGCAACTCGAACTGTTGGACAGTGACAACAGCGATGACGGCGCGGCGTTGGAAGGAGCAGCGCGGACGCCACTGCGCTCTCGGCTTGAGCGCGCGCGGCAGTCGGCGGGCCCAGGGGCGGCGCCGGCGCCGGCCACCCTCATACCGCAGCCATCGGCGGAGGTAGCTACTGCCTCGCCGCAGCTCACCCCGCCGTCCACGGCGTTGCTGGTCGCATCCACAGGGACGACGAACGAGTCCGTTACGGCGACTCGCTCGCACGTCTCGCGCCGTCCCGAGGCAACGTTGGCGACGCATCCCGTGGTGCACGCGTCACCCACTGCTGCCGCCGCTGCCGTTGTGTCCACCGTGCAAACTCCGCCGCCTCCCTGCCCGGCCACGGCAGCCCCCGCACAAGGACCCACGAAAACGCGCGCCTCTCAGCGACGGCCGGCACCGTTAAGGAAACTGAAAAAGGCGCACCAGGAAGCGCCGATTGCAACGACGACTGCCGCTGCTGCTCCTGCCGCACCCACCCGCAGCGCAGAGCCCGACCTCCTCTCTCCTGGCGTGGAGTACACCACCGTGCCTCGCTGGACCAAAGGCATGACGAAGAAAAACGGCGTCTACGTACAGAGCTCCGTTCTCGCCAGCCGAACAGGGCTGTACGAGCGTGGGCTGAAGGGGCTCAAGCGTGCGGAGGAGAAGCGAGAGGAGCTACGCGCGAAACTGGAGGAGGCGGAGCGCAGCGCCACCACCTTCCATCCCGTCATCTCGCCTCGCGCACGCGCGTTGAAGCGCGACGCTCGGTTGGGCAGCGCGGCGTCCGCAGAGCAGGAGATGTCCCCCCAACTGCGGCACCGCCTCCAGCTGCTGGAGCTGCCCGACGAGGCGGCGGCAACGTGTCGGCACAGCCCCCGCATCTCGGCCACGTCGGAGAGAATCGTGAGGGGTTGCCGCGAGCGCAGCAGCGGGGCCGCAGTGCCAGCAGGAGACCGACTCTACCAGGACTACTTCAACCGCCAAGAGGCGATGGAGACGGCGCAGCAGGAGATGCCGCCGTCGCAGCCGCCCGTCGTCGTCCGCTCGCAACGCGAAATTGCGGCGCACATCGCCTCCCTCTACGAGTTTGAGGAGCATCGACGTCGCGCCATCGCCAACGCGCGCGAGGCCCCGCTGCCCGCTGCACCGAAAGCACCTCTGCAGGTGTATGTCGATCCGACCGACTTGGTCCGCCGCCTCACGCGGGCAGCAACGCCGTCGCCGCGGCGGCTTGCGCTGACGCGGCAGACGAGTGACGAGTGCACCTTCCAGCCTCAGCCCAACCCCAACGCCGCGGAATTGGCGCGAGTGGCGCGCCAGCGCGGCCTGCGGCGGTGGGTGCGGCACTTCAGTGGGTCGGAGACGCTGACCCTCTCGGCTCTCCTCGACTACACCGGCCCCGCGAGCAGGGAGGCGCAGTGCGTGGCAGCCGTGCTGTCGCAGCGTTGCTCCCTGCAGTCGGCGTGGACGGTGGAGGAGCTCGTAGCGGCGTTTGAAGGAGCAGAAGACGTGGCCGTGGAGCAGCTCTGGCGTCGCTATCCACCCACGGGCGAAGGAACGTCGTCCACCACCGTCGACCTGACCTTCCACCCGGCGCTCAACGTGCACAGCGCTGCCATAGTGGAGAGCATGGAGCCGGAGCAGCGCTGCGGGCCGACGTACGACCGCCTCTTCCTCGTTGCCAAGTCCAAGCAACTGGCACAGAAGCAGCAGGAACTGGAGGCGGAGCAGGCGACCCTGGAAGCGGAGCAGCGCAGACACGCCATAAAAGAGCGTGTGCAGGCGGAGTGGCGGGCCAAGGAGCGCCGGCGCCTTGACGCTTACCGCGAGGAAAAGGCATGCCAGAATGGTGAGGAGGCGCCGCCCTCCACACAGTCGCCGCGGACGGGCTTGACGGCGCAAAAGACGTCTCGGCGACTGCTGATGCCGTCGGTGTCACCGAAGGACACGGCGCGAGTGAGAAAGCAGCCTTCGCCGTCTCCCACGAAGCCAGCGGATGCACCAACCTACGCCACGAAATACGCGTCCGCGGGCCGTGCTTCTCCTCACTCGTCAACGCTGGTGACTGCGGCGGTGCGTCCGCCGTCGCCTCCACCAACAACAGTCCCACCTTTTCCTCCTGCGAAAATGCATTCGGATGGAAGGATTAGCGTGGAGGACAGGAGCCTCGCAGGAGAGCCGTCTGCCATTCCTCTTTCCACCGACCCCTCAAAGCCGGGAAAAGAAATGATGGACGAGCCAACGCACGCGACAGAGGCACCAACACGGAGGGAGAACCAGGAGTTGAGCAGCGCAGCGGAGGCGTTGCGGCAGCTTCTTGGCGGCACAACTCACTCTTCCGCCCAACCAACGCGCGCTCCTACGAAGGCGGCGGCAACGCAGTCGCACGCCAACTCAACCCCCATGACGCCGCAGGACATCAACCGTCCGCGCGACAGCAAGCCCAACTGCCGCCCTCTCGATGTTGTGTTAGAGTGCGCCGCGCTGCGTGATCCGGCGACAGTGTCGTGCGGCGAGCGAGGGCCGCTGGAGCGGGCCCAGAAGCGTCAATTGCGGGAGCTGGGGCGCCTCTTGTACAATCGCAGTAGAGCTAGAATAGAGGACAAGTGAGGCCGCCCCGCTAGCTGTTTCGCGTGTCGGTATTATTATTGCTGTACGAATTTTGTTCGCCTCCTTTCTTTTCAGAAATAGATCGCGCGTGCACCACCGTCGCAACACAGTCAATGAAAGAAAGACTCGCTTCGAGACAGACACAAAATGAAGACCCAGCGGCTTACAGAGAGTACCAAGGAGGCGTGCTGGCGACAAGAGTAGTCCACATCTAGAACCACCACTGTGTCTCTCACAAAGCCTCCTATTCTCTGTACTGCAGCAGCGAAGTCGGTCCATCAAGCAAGCTTGTGACTTTTCCTCTTCTCTGTTCTTATCGTCTCGTTTGTTTCCTTTGAATCTTGCACATGTTCCTCCACACCGAAACGTGCAAAACCACCGCAGCTCACTATTACTCTAGCGCACTCACATGTCAAGCACTTACGACGTTATCGTCTCGCGCATTCAGGACGCGTTCAAACCTTCCGAGTTGGAGGTGACGGCCATTAGCGAGCGAGAGGCCAAGTACAACGTCCGCATCGTATCTTCCGTGTTCGCTGGCGTCCCTCTCCTTCAGCGTCATCGCATGGTGAATGCCCTATTTGATGAGGAGCTCCGCTCAGGCACCATTCACGCCTTGACGATCTCTGCTAAACCACCTTCGTAAAGGAACGAAAAAAGGATCCCAACAACAGTAAGAAAAAGACAAAGAGCAGAAAGCATCTGCTTCGAATGAAAACCCCTTTACTTATTGCGCTCAGTCCCGTTGCGACGTCTGCGTGTGTCGGCTTTGTTCATTCCTACTGCATCTTCACCAAAACTGATGCTCTCAAAAAGGAGAACGGACAAATTCAACTGGAGCAGGCCGCACGCGCGAGCTTGCAGCCTTGATTATTCTTCTTTTCATCTGCGCTGCCGCCGTGGCCAGTTTCATGCCACGCGGCTCATTTACAGCCTCCCCCCTCCCCCTTTCAGGAAGGCCACGATGCTTCTGCGCCTTAACGACTCTTTACCTCTTCCACCTTCTCTGCCCACCGTCGCATCTTCGCTCTCTAACTTTTCCGCGCTTTTTTGTTTCTCTTCTCGCAATACTTCTTCTGTTTTTAACTTCAACAGCGGCGTAAAACCTCGGCTCCCCACCAAGAACCACGCTTTCGTGACAATAAGCCTTATTTTTCCTTAAAAACCTTAAAATAGCGCACAGATTGGTACTAACTTGTCGTAGGAGTGAAGCCAGTGAGCTCCGTCAGCCCCTCGCGGAAGCGTAAAAAGGTAAATGTAAAGTATAAGTCTTTTCAATGGAAAAAGGTTTGGCAAGTGCCTAACACCGTGTCCGAGTCGTAAGTGATCTCTAATGAATCCCTGCGCAGTTATGCTTCAACAATTTTCCTCCCCATCCTTCATTATTGTATCGCTGATGGAAAATGATAGCTAACAAGTTTAGGTGAGCAAGAGTGTCCAAGACCGAGCACTAAATATTTTAACGACCCGCCCGCCCAACCCAGTGAACCTAACAGCGCGGTACGGAGTCCCGGTAATAGTTTTCATTTTCCCATTGATTGTTTTTCGTTTCCCAATTTGACACGCACAAATGCTAGCAGCCTCTTTGCCGCCACGGAGTAAGTCTAAAGAGGAGGTTTCGAGAGTAGCGAACTTAATGGAGCTGGTCGACTCCATAAGAACATTTGTCATGTAAGGTTGGGTGGGGATCTCTGCTAGAGGGCGCCAGACCAGAACCGAGTCACGTGGGCCCTCACGAAATGTAGTTTTCTACCAAGCTAAAGAGAAATGGAATTTCCGGAATGGGCTCGTCCGCCCAAATCGCAAGAGCATCGTGAGATGGTCACGACAGGCAGGAAAGCCCGTTTCTTCTTGCCCCTTCATCCTCCGTTCGTAGCTCGAGCAAGACAATCAAAGATGAGTGGGATCGTTTCTTACTAGGCTGGCGAATGCGGTAGCTACCTTTGATCTGCTCTCGCTTCTCTACAGGGCAACCTAGCACAGCCACCGTCCTGTTGTATGGGTCGCTCTATGCAGTGAGTAAGAAGAGAGGAGTGAGGCAGGAGCGGAGAGAGTGAGTCAGCATCGTGCAGTGGGAGCGACATGTAGCGGCCGCAGAGACTTGACGGCCGAAGGCGCAGACATTCGCGCGACTACAATCGCCGCCCGCGTACATCGCCTCCAGTGCGCGGCGCACCGCCGCACTGTCGTCGCCGTCGGCCTGTGCGAACGCGCGCTCCAGGTCCTCGGTCCACCGCTGGCGGTACGTCCACGTCTCCGCCGGGTTCTCGCGCAGGTGCAGCACCGCACCCCAGCCCTCCAGCGACGCGTCCGTGAACACCACGGCGTCGTAGTCGCCCTCGTCCAGCGTGGGGTGGCGCTCGTCGGAGATGGTGCTCCACGCGTTGCGCGCCAGCTCGCCGCCAATCTCCTGCAGCGAGCGTGCCACGGCCGCGTCCAGGTACGGCACCGCGGCGTCCCAGCCGAACCCACGGAAGGTCAGCCGGTAGATCCCCCGGTACGCCCTCAGCAGCTTGAAGGCGCGCGCGGGGTTCAGCTGCGTCGTGTGCAGCGCAAAGAAGATCAGCGAGATGAGCGACGCGAGGCTGCGGATCGTGTGCCGGGGCTTCCGCAGCGCCAGCTGCAGCTTCGCCACCGTCTTCACCGAGTTGCGCACCAGCCGCTCGCGGCCGTTCCACGTGTACTCCTCGCCGAGGAACACCGTGTTCTCGCTGGCCAGCGCCAGCAGCTCCGCGTCCGACATCGCCTCCAGCTCGTCGCGGTTCGGCGACGTCATCAGGTTCGCCGCCTTGATGCGCGCCACAATGCTGCGCACCGCGCGCACGAACTCCGCCTCCTCGCCCTCGCGGGCGGCAACCAGGATGTTGTCGATGAGGGTGCTGATCGTGACGGGCGTGTCGATGTCCACGATCACCCACGTCACTGCCTGCCCCACCGCAACACTCCACCGCGCACCAGTCGGCAGCGTCCGCAGCCGGTAGTAGCGCCCGTCATGCTTCGCACGAAAGACGAACCTGTTACGCAGCGTCTCCGCAATCGGGATAGCGTCGTAATAGGCCTCGAAGTCTATCTGCAGCATGTAGCGGGCGCTGCGCAACCTCTGCCGGCGGCCGAGCCGCGTGTCGTAGTGCACGCGCGGCACCTGGTGCTTCGGGATCACCCGGTTCAGCAGCGGCTCCGTGATGAGCCGCCGACGGCCCTTCAGCTCCGGCACCGTGAACACGTTGACCCCGTGCACGCCGTCCGGCAGCTGCACGCAGCCGGGCCCCAGCACACCGGCGGGGACGGGCTCGAACTTGCCCATCTCCACCGCGCGCGCCACCTCCGCCGCCGTCAGCGCGCATGGCTTCACCGTGCGCGACGTGCGCAGCCCGTCGAAGAAGCGCGTGTCGAGAAAGGGCTGCACGCGCAGCAGGAAGCGCTTCGTCCGTGCCCGGTGCGTGGGCATCGCCAGTACCGCGGCCATGTCCAGCGGCGTGTTGTGCTTCAAATGCAGCGGCCAGCTCCTGACCGCTGCGGGCATCTCCTCCACCGTCCGGATGAACCCCGTCATCCGGGCCACCATCTCCGCCACCTCGCGCGCGTCGATGCCAAGGTTGTGGCACGATGAGTCCTGCGAGCGGTAGCGGAACAGTGATGTCGCGGCCTCTAGGGGGTCGGGAATAGCGCCCGGCTGGCGCCGGCCCGCGCGGCTTCTGCCTCCGCCGTAGGCTGCTGGCCATACCCAAGATAGCGCAACAGAGTGGTGGGCTTCGCATGCCCGGAGATTACCATGAGGTCCCGCGACGGGACCCCCGCTTCCGCCATGCACCGCAGTGCACCCTTGCGGACAGAGGGCAGCTGCGCCCCCTTCAACACTCGCCCCAGCTCGCTGGCAACGAGACGCCGCAGCTGTTCCGTGTGTGGCGCGAACAGCTCCTCCGACGGGCGGCGCTGGACCAGCAGCTCCTGCAGGACCGCGCCCATCTCCCGTGTCAGCACGGACGGCACCGGGTACGGGCCGCGCTTCTTCGCGCCCTTGCCCCGCCGCACCGTGATCGTCACCCGCAGCCCCGGGTCCGCGGCCTTGCGCTGGCGCATCGACAGCGGCGGCGCACCCTCCGGCTGTGGCGGCGGCCCGTTGGACGGGAACACCGTCACGTCCTTCGCGCGCAGCGTCGCAATGTCGCACGCGCGCGCCGCAAAGCCCCACATCATGGCCAGGAAGAGCGCCGCGCGCGGGTGCGGCAGCCGCAGCCGATCCAGCACGCTCCTCACCTGCTGCAGCGTGAGGAAGGGTGGTGCGTCCGGCACCGACTCGCGCATGTAGCGCTGCACCGAGCCAAACGCGCTGCGCCACTCCGGGTCGTCCTGCAGCCGGATGCCGCGCCGCTGCGTCGAGTAGAGGGGCAGGTCGCGCAGCGCACCCGCCACCCCAGCAAACGCCTTGGACGTCGTGGCCCACTTCCACCGACGCGCCCGTGCCGTCGCCATGATGAGGTCGATGCAGGCGCACGGCAGACTCATGCGGAGCCGCTCGCTCGACATCGCCTTGATGCGAGCCAGCCACCGCAGGTGGTGCTCCCGCGTGTCGGGCCGCACCGCGTTCCACGCCAGCTGCGACACATGCGGCGGCTTCGTGGAGAAGAGGAACCAGTTTCGCGGGCAGGCCTCGGCCTCCTCGGTGCCCGTGAGAGGCCTGCCCTGCATGTTTAAAGGAGCGGCTCGTAGGTCCTCCAGGGCACGTGTCGCCTCTGCCGAGATGTTGCCATCCATGTCGGCATACCCGTCCGCCTCGCGGGCAGGTCCCTCTCGTGTGGCGCCCTCGGCGCCGTCGCCCGGCCAGTGCTCGCGGCGACGCAGCGGAGACAGCGGCTGCGCTTCCAGGTTACGCACGTCCCCTTCCTCATCGGGGACGTCGTTCTCCTCTTCGCGCTGCTGCGCGCTGCGTGGGACGGGGACGTAGCGCTCGGCGTTTCGGGACACGCGGTGCGCGTTGGCCAGGCGATAGTGGGTCATACCATGCCGGATGTATGCCCCCACCGTTGCCTCCTCGGCGCTACGCGTCAGCTCGTAGTAGCTGGGGTACCGCACCCCGTCCATGTCCCGTGGCGCCTGCGTCAGCCGCGCGCCAAGCACAAACTCGTACCGGCCCACCTGGCTCGGCAGTCGTCCCAGTCGCGCGCCGCGGACCAGGTAGCACTCGTCTACCCCAGGCCCCAAATCGCGCGTCGCCGCTCCTCCGTCCTCCGGACGGAACACAAAGCCTCCTTCGCCGGCGTCTCCCTCGGAGTCTCCGGCCTCGCTGCTGCTGCTGCTGCTGCCGCTCCGGCTGCTGCTGTTGCTGTTCTGACCGGGGGTCGCACCCGCGCGGTCCAGCACGTGTACCCGCTTGTGCAGGAGCTTCAACATCTCCTGCACGCTGTAGGGCTGCAGCTCGCGCAATCCGTGGCGCATCCGCTGCATGTTGAGGGCCGAGTCGCCAAGGCCCCGCGGCACACCGTCGCCGCACATCGCCAGCGCGGTCGCCGCCCAGAGGTGGTCAATCACCCCCTCGTACACCTTGCGGGCGGATCGGTTCGCCTTCGCCAAGGTCTCGTCGGCCCACCCGGCCACGGGTCGCCCCGGTGCGTCACCCACGCTACGTTCGCGTCGGGTCCGTTGCACTCTCGCGGGCACTGTTTCGGGCTGCTGCACGGGCGCCGCCTCCAAGCGGCGCAGCACTGCCTCGTCCTCCGCCTCTCTCTCCGCACGCGTAGGGCGCCTCGCAGGCGGCCTCTGGGGTGTCGGCGGCGGGTTCGTCACGTCCGATCGGCGGGCGCCTCGCTGCACCGCCGCTCTCGGCGTGGTCGCGCTCTGTCGCGCGCGTGCTGTGGTGGCGGCTGTGGGCTGACGCGCGCGCGCGGTCTGTGTGCGCGCCGTCTCCGCCCTCGCCCGCCGTGCTGCTGGGGCTGCCGCGGATGCCGTCCGCCTCGCAGCCTGGCGTCTCGCCGGCGCCTTCCTCGGCGCAGCGCCGCCCGTGTGCACAGCCGGGCCCGCGACCCGCTGTGCCCAGCTCCTCGTCTCCCGCTTCCACGGCGCGCGCTCGATCTCATCGTAGAAACGATCGCAGCGCGACACGGGGTGGCTGGTGAGCACCTTCCGCATCTTCTCGTGGAAGTACTCGACCGGCGGGTTGTGCTTCTTCGCCGCGTACAGCAGGCGGCGAAGGCACCGTGGCAAGTCGCGGCGGTCGACGAGCCGCGCTTGCAGGTGGTGGAGGAAGAAGTTGGCGGTCATGTACAGACCGCAGTCGTCGCTGTAGCGCTCCTGCCGCGGGCACTGACCCTTGACCATCCGCAGGCCCGGCCACACGCGCGCAAACACGGAGCGCAACTTCTCCTCCACCACGGGGGACGGCGCGGAGTCGTATGTGGTCAGCACACCGGCGATCCAATGCTTCATGACGAAGATTGGGAAGTAGAGGACACCCTGACGGCGCACCTTCTCCACGAGCGTCTTGACGCGCTCGGGGGCCAGGTACACCATCGTGTCCGACGGAACGATCCTGAGAGCGGGGAGATACCGCGCGTAGATCACATCCAACTCGACGTTGGACGTTTTCCCCTCGCGGAGATCACCACCCCACACCTCCTTCCGGAAGGCGCGGGGCACATCTGCGGTGGCGCTCGCCGCAGTCGGCGCAGTGCCGCCTCCCAGCCTCAGGACGGCGCGCGGCCCGCCGGGACTCAGTTTTTTGAGAGCTGAGTCTCTGGCATATCGTCACCGCCGCCGCGGTACGAGTGGCTGCCGTAGCCACCACGACCGCCGTAGCCGCACCGGGCACCGTAGCCCTGGTAGCGCCGGGCCTGGTTGTTGATCGCGCTCTTCACGCGATTCATGTTTGGCACGATGCCCCGCGCCCCGGTGTACGCATCCGCGAGATGTTCTCGCGGATCTCCTGGGTGAGGGCCATCCCCACCGCGCGCTCCTCCTCGCGGAGCGTCTGCACGCTCTGGGAGAGCGTCTCCAGGTAGCCTTCCAGCCCGGACAGGTCCACCACCGCAATCTGGGTGCCGTCGGCACCGTACACCGGCGCCGTCGCGCCGCCTCCCTCCAACAAGTCCCGCCCCTTGCGTGGCCGGCGGTAGAGCTCCTGGCGTGGCTCCTTCTCGCGGGCCTCGCCACCAGCCTCCAGGGCCTTACTCGCCTCTCGCGCGTCCAGGCGAATTTGCAAGTTCTTTGGGGAGAACTTGTCGATGGGAGGGAACAGGGGGAGATCCACTTCGTCGAGGATCTCGCGCCACTCCTTCATGGCGGCCGAAGGCATGCCGGACACGACAAAGGCGTTGTAGCGGTACAGCCGGGTGTCCTCCGGCTCGTCCACCATGAGAGAGATCCACTGCAGGACTCTCTTCTCATAGGTGTCGGTGGCACTTTCGGGGCCCACGAGACCCAGGAGGATGGCCGCCCCCGAGGCGACAACCGGCGACAAGAGCTTGGCCTCCAGCGCGGCGATGTACCGCTCCAGGGCACGGTTCAACGCCCCGCTCGTCTTTGCGTCGCGGGCGACGTCCTGGTCTTTCTCCAGGAAGGCGTTGAATTTACGGATCTTCGGATCCGTAAACTCCCGCTGTGCCTCCAGCATCTGGAGCTTCACGTTAGCGGGCTTGCGGGTGGGTGACTGGTTTCTTGGCGGCTCGGACACCAGCCTGTCCGTCAGCGCGACAACGCGCTGCATGTACTCCGCCCTGCTGAGCACCCCCTGTCGGTGCAGCATCTGCACCTGTTTCGCGGCTGTGGCTGTCCGCGCGTCTTCTAGGAGGGGAGTGACATCGATGTCGTCGTTCTCCTCCGGAGGCTGTCCGCCAAGCGGGATCTCCTCGTGGCGCTCCTGGTCGCTCATTTCTGCGGTAAGCAACGACCCTCGTGGGCAAAAACAAGAACTTGTACTCGAAAACGCTCGAAAACGTTCAGCGCGAAACAAAGCCTTCACTTGTATGCTTTATCGCGTGAGCAGAGTTACCATGTTCGTGTGCGCAGGAGAGGAAACGAAGAAGAGAGACAACGAGGAAGAAGAGTGGAGAGCACATGTGGAGGAGAAGAGGAAGACCGCTAACGCAATCAGCAGAGGGAAGAATCACAACCACAACATCTGAACAGGGGTGGATCACACCACCGGAAGAACGAGCTCGCAGCCACCTCACACGAACACATATACGCACGCAGAACGGTCGTGAAGGCGCGGGCAACGAAGCTGATAAATTCCTTCAGTGCGTTGCGGAGCAGAACAGGTTTCGTGCCTCACGGGTCTGACTCTTGACCACGGCGTTTGCCAGGGACCTGTCCTTCCCCGTCTGGAGGGGCGGGTCGCGCGTTTTCCGCCGATGCGGCGGGGGGTACAGCGGAGCTTGCGGGTTCCGCACGTGGCTGGGGGGCACATACGAAGGGCATTTTCCTGAAGGAGAAACTATTTTCACACTTCTTTTTTTCTGATTTCTGCGAAGAGCCGTTGCCACTGAAGTGCGCGAGTGGACGTGGCGCACATTTGCCTCGTTTCTTTGTAGCAGATGTGCAGTTCCTCACGTCCGCTTGCTTTTAAACGCCTCGCTCGAAAGACGGCCCACCACAACGAAGACGAGTTTCACTGTCATGGGAAAGCAGAAGATTGGCAAAATGCAACGAAAAAAAGGTGATGGCTGTGCGAAAGGGAAAGTGGCTCGGTGACGGGTTTTTATGTTTAAATGATGATCGTGCACAACACTCGGTGTCCGGCTTGGCCTTAACGCTAGTAAAAGCGCAGAGAGGCGAGACAAACACCATGGCTTTGTTTCTCACCTTTAGTAGCGTGACTACAACAGAAAAGGTAGATGTTGAAGCGGTGTCGCGCCCCTTCCTGTGAAACCGGTCAACCCAGAATTCCACAACAGATTCATACTGCTATGTTTTTTGTTTTCATTTATGTTTCTCGCCGTATTAATCTGATCTACACGCTTTCTTACATCTCTTCCTTTCTCTTGCATTGAAATAATAATAGAGAAGAACGTGCATTCAGAAAACTGTGTATAATACTGGCGGCAGCTTCTTTTATTATTATTATTATTTTCATTGGTTTGGCCGCCTGCCCAATGCCAAAGCGACAGCGCGACGAGGAAACAAAGGACGTCCATGTTGAGTCTTCGCTGGAGTCGGGACGAAAGTTCGAGGCCTACATCCGCGGATGGGTGCGGGAAACAACGGAACCCCAGGTCGTGCGTCCGTCCTCGTTGCCTCCGCTGATGCCTCTGCCGGCTCTCATCTGCTCCCCAACGGATGCGCTACGCTCCACAATAGCTGCAGCGCTGGTGGCGCCCACTCCCGTAATCGTGGACAGCGTGTCTGCGTCCGTTTCCCATATCACTACTGCTGCTGCCGCCGCTGCATCTCACGCTGGGCCCACGTCAGGCACCGCCGTCGTTTACGACGATTGTATGCTGGAGCACACCTCACCAGATCCGTCCGACTACGAGCGCCCTGCACGCCTCAGTACCACGCTGGACCACCTCGCCGCCGTGGGCCTTCTCGCCTGCTGCCGGCGCATCCCGGCGCGCACCGCAAAAACGAAGGAACTGCGGCGCGTCCACTCCCGTGAGCTCGTCGACACCATCGATCAACTGGATTTCTTCATGGGCATTCGCGATGAGAAGAGCGGCGTCATCGGTCAGGACCTCTTTGCCAGCGAGCACACCTCGCGTGCGGCACGGATGGCGGCGGGGTGCGTCATCGAGGCCGCCAAAGCCGTCGTCAGTGGAGTCAGCACCAACGCCTTTGCGCTGATTCGTCCACCGGGCCACCACGCAGGGCCGGGCAACGCGTCGGGTTTTTGTTTGTACAACAACGTCGCGGTTGCCGCCCGCGCTGCGCAGGAGGAGATGATAGCGCGGCGCCGTGGTCGTGATAGCGGTGCTAGTGGCGGCATCGCCAAGGCCGCGGATTGTCCCCGCATCCTTATTCTTGACTGGGACGTGCACCACTGCGACGGTACGGAGAGCGTGTTCTACGACGATCCTTCGGTGCTGGTCATCTCCATCCACCAATACGGTAGTGGCCGTGGCCATGTTCTTCGCAAGATGCCCTCTACTGAACTCACGCCGAAACCACCTCTCGCTGCAGACTCCACAACGTCGACCAGCAAGGAGGACATTGACGTGAATGAGCTCGCCGTCCTCCTCGCTTCCTCAGAGCAGGATGAGGACGTACCTCAGAAAGACACGGGCGCAACAGAAGCGCAGCAGGTTACGGCTGTGCCTCAAACCGTAGCGGAGGCAATGAGGCCACCCCCGCCGCCACCGTTTGAGGCCGCCGAAAGCCGCCGCCCGCGCAAACAGGTTGACTACAACAAACTGGCTGCAGAGCTGCAAGACGACGGTGCCGACGACATCGCCGCGCTGTTCGGTGTGGATGTGAAGGCTGCGGCTTCCTCCTCCTCCTCGACCTCATCGTCGTCGTCCGCGTCCGTCGGCGATGCGGCGTCCTCCACTGCGGCCAACGACGGGCAGAGGAAAAAAGCGCACTACGCGGGCGATACCGTCGGTCTTTCCTTTGACGAGACGCCGCCGCTGGGGGCACCGAGGGAGGCGGAGGAGCCGTTCTACCCCGGCACCGGACACATCACCCGCGTGGGCGGAGAGACGGTGGAGAAGGCGACAGGCCGCAACATCAACATCCCGTGGCCCACGCACGAGATGGGCGACCTCGAGTATGTGCAAGTGATGCACGATCTTGTCCTACCAGCGGCGCGGGAGTTCGAGCCGGAGTTGGTGTTCATCAGCTCTGGCTTCGACAGCGCACACGGGGATCTTCTCGGCTCCATGTCTCTCAGCCCTTCCGGTTTTTACATTATGACACGTCTCATGGCGACCAACTTTCCGAAGCTGGTTGTTGCTCTTGAAGGCGGCTACAACGTGAAGAACGTGGCGCTCGGCTCCGAGGCGGTGATGCGTGCGCTGCTGGAAAGCAGCGGCAATCCCGTCGATCAACTTCCCCGAACACGAATGCTGTGGTTCCAGGCCGCTGCTCTGGTGGCAGAGGTAAAGAAGATGCACGCACCATATTGGAAATGCTTCTCCGACCCGTAGATTTGACGTGCGTAGACCGGATCGGTGCTGTTGCACGGCACAACGCTTGCATATCGCTGCATAACAAACCCACTACGCCCAGACGTTGGCCCGTGCGCGTTCCAAAAGAGCTTTCGGCGCACCTCCCATGAAGGCTGAATATCGACTACAGTGTTTAGCAGCTGCTACATTGTGGATGTATCCGCGGAGTCAGACGGAAAGACAAATGAGGTAATTCTTCAGCAGGCGCTATTGCGCTGTAGCAGTGGTAAGACTTAACAAGCGAGACAACGGAAGCGGCGACGGTCTCGGTCAACAGGTGCACGCAAACGTGTCGTGCTGCCTTTTAAAACTCCCATATCTCTATGCAGCAATTGGTTTCACACCGGGAAGCTGTTTCATACGCTTTCTCTTACTCTACAAGTAAAGGACATAAGTTGTTTCTTATCGTTCCACTTCGACCTCTTCTCCTTCTCCCAGATCTACCATCAGCGCATTACACATTTCTTCCAGCAGACGAATTCAACTTCAACACCAATAAGCAAACATACGCGATCACACGCACAGTTCCGCACTCAGAAAAACAAAGCCTCTCTTCACGAAGATGTCGCTTAAGGGTCATATTGAGGACTTCACTGCGTCGCTCTCCTCCGGTTCGCTGGGTGATGCACGCAAAGCACTGTCGCGCCTAAAAATGGACGGCATTGCTCAGATAATGAGCTTCATGCGTTCAAAGTATTTCACGAACGAATGTCGCATACCGAGTGCTGTGTGTCCGCAGATGAGACTGGACACGGAGGCGCTGACCAGCCACTTTTACACGGAAGAGAACTGTGGTGGTGTGATGGTATCAAACAACCACCTGGTCTACGGGATCACAGCGACGAAGGCATGTTCAACTCTACAAAGGATTGCGCATTCGCTATGGTGGGCAGATCGGTGCGGACTGCCGCTGTGTGTCACTGTCAACAACGAATGCAGTGACGTGCTGGCTCTTCTCACAGCTCGTGTAAGGGACCGAGTGGAGGAGCTGCGCATCAAAGTCAACACAAAAAATGCGTGCGTTCGAGGATCCGCAACGGAGCACCAGCGAGGCCACTCAGGTCCACCAGGGCACTGTTTTGGGAGATAACGACCTCGCGGAGTAGCGGGCAGCTGTTCAGCCCATCGATGCTGCGGAGTCCTCTACAGGGCCTCACAGAAAGCTTCTCGAGGCTCGGCGCACCAGCGAGGCCACTCAGGTCCACCACGGCACTGTTTGTGGAGATAATGACCTTGCGGAGTAGCGGGCAGCGGTTCAGTCCATCGACGATGCGCAGTTCTTCACAGTTGTTCAGAGTAAGCTCCTCGAGGCTCGGCGCACCAGCGAGGCCGCTCACGTCTTCCAGGGCACTGTTTTCGGAGATAATGACCTTGCGGAGTAGCGGGCAGCTGTTCAGCCCATCGATGCTGCGGAGTCCTCTACAGGCCCTCACAGAAAGCTTCTCGAGGCTCGGCGCACCAGCGAGACCGCTCACGTCTTCCAAGGCTTTGTTTTGGGAGATATCGATCTCGCTGAGCAGCGGGCAGGTGTTCAACCCATCGACGTTCCGTAATGCACAGAACGCCGCTTTGACGATCCGAAGTGAAGGCGCACCAGCAAGGCTGCGAGTGCTCTTTAAATATTTGTTGCCCAACACGTCAAGGGTGCTGAGGAAGGGAAAGTTGCCGGGACCGTCTAAGTTTCGTATATCACAAATCTTTGCGATCAGAGTTTTGAGGCGCGGTGCGCTTGCGAGGCCTGAAAGAGTCTGGAGGTGTTGATTGTGGGAGACATCGAGTTCTGTGAGCATCGGACAGCTCACCAAGTCAGTAACCGACTGTATTCCACAATGGGTGACTGTCAAATGTTGAAGGTGCTGCGATTCCGCCAGCACAGAGAGATCCGTTAGCTCCATAAAACCACGAACGCATATCTCGCTAATTGGCATCTTCGCTGCAACGCGTAGGGGGTGATTCACGTGATCAACACCACGAGAGTCACGAACATGTCCACTGAGCACAATTGACAGCTTTGTCACGTGTGGAAACGCAGAAAGCGCAGAGAGAACGTCGCCGCACTGATCGTCGCATGTCAGCCTCGAGGAGCTTACTCTGAACAACTGTNNNNGCACGCGGGTTGCTATCATGCAGTATTCTTTTTTGTTTTCTATTACACCTGCCCGCTACTCAACGAGATCGATATCTCCTATTACAGCGCCTGGGACCTGAGCGGACTTGCTGGTGCTCCGAGCCTCGAGGAGCTTACTCTGAACAACTGTGATGGACTCCGCAGCATCGATGGGTTGAACAGCTGCCCGCTACTCCGCAAGGTCATTATCTCCGAAAACAGTGCCCTGGAAGACGTGAGCGGCCTCGCTGGTGCTCCGAGCCTCGAGAAGCTTTCTGTGAGCGCCTGTAGAGGACTCCGCAGCATCGATGGGTTGAACACCTGCCCGCTACTCAGCGAGATCGATATCTCCTATAACAAAGCCTTGGTGGACCTGAGCGGACTTGCTGGTTCGCCGTCACTTCGGACGCTCAACGCGGTGTGCTGTAATATTCGCAGTGTGAACGGGCTTAACAGCTGCCCACAGCTCAACAACCTCGATCTGAGGGGAAACAGACGCTTGACGGACATCCGTGATCTTTCAAGGTCCACCAGCTTAAAACACTTAGATGTACATGGTACAAATGTGAAGGACACTCATTTTCTCAACTCCTCCGTAGTGGTCCAATTGTAGAGTATAGCAGGACGACGACACAACGACTGGTGCAAAGATCGTTTTCAAAGGTTCCTTTTTTCTGAGCTTATCAACTCCGTCGCACTGACGAGGAATGTGTGCGACCGAGTATCCCTTGTGCTGCCATCGTTTTCTATTGCAACTGGTTTCTTGCATCGTATACGAGTGCACCGTGTGTTATCTGCATCTATCACTTTTTGTGCAGTTTCTGCCTCCGTGCCTTTCGAGTAAAACTGCAGCTTTTATCCCAACGGTGTGTGTTGAAAGCGCCCCTGCACGGACCATGCCAGTTGACAGAGGGGATCCGGATAGTTTCCTCCGATCGCAGGGGCGTTCTCTTTTAATCATCCCAGTGTTGTATTAATCGTCTTCTGTCAAACCTATCAACATTGAGGCCTTGATTATCGCTTGTTGTTTGATTTCTTCTTGGTGGCACAGTTGAGCAGACTCCCTGCTGTCGCAACATTCGTAAATGCGCAGGTGACGCTTCAAACCTTTTTTCTTCTCACCAGTTACTCTTTGTTCAGCGATCTTTTTTGTTTTTGATGCTCCTCGATGCCGTAGCCTCCTTTTTCTTTTCGCGGTTTCGAAGTGTTGCAGTGCTTGAACTGTTGCTTCTAAATCACGAATTCTGTCAAAAATCCATCTCGGTAAAAACAATCTCTTCTTCTTTTTGTATGCATAGCTGAGCAACATCAGGTTGAATAGCGTTCCTTTCCTGCTACTTGTTGTGTACAGTGGCTTGCAGGAAACCGACTGGCGAACCGACAAGTACGCATCTGCTGATGTGCTTTCTATTGTCTTTCTTTTCTTTTGCCATACACGTTCACCAAATAATAACAATAACAAAATCACACCGCAAAGAGTGTTGCACTTGGTAAAGCGGAATACGGTCATACGACAAGATCTCACGGGTGCGAAGAGAGCGCATCAGGATTCTATTACAAGTAAATGGTGTCCTGTGGTGACTTTTCATCTGCAACGCTTATGTGTGTAAGGGATAGAGGTTGAAGCTGTTGCATTGCTGGTAATGTCACATTTATCGTTGTACTTTCCTCGATGTTCTCTCCTCGCTCTTCACTTGACGAGTTTTGGTCTCCTTTCGTTTTGCCAGACGCGCATTTCGCCCTTACAGCAAACTGCCTTCAAGAGTGCTGAGATCACAGGTGAAGGACGTAGCGCACCCTGTTTCTTCTCAAGCGGCATAGTAGCAGAGCAGTTTCTGTTCCCAGGTGCTTCCACCGGTGCGTGTGCTTCGTCGGGAAAGGAATGAGGTGAGGCAGCACTTCGAACCCACAGATGCGCTGAGGCCGGCATCTACAACGGCTGTGTAGCACGATTGACTTGGTGCTACAGCGGCAGCGCTGCCCTTTCTTTGCCACGTTAACAAGCAGCGGATTAGAGCAATGCGATCATCGAGCAACTCTGCTCTCCCGGTACTGTGTGTTATTATAGTCCCAGTTGCTGAGAGCTGCCTAGCAGGGAAAGTGTGATGCTACAAAAGGGGATGCTAAATGAGAAGAAAAGCTGACTCCTGCGCATTGATGTGCGTTGCGTTTGAAAAAGGTGGAGACCAAACAGAAGTGGCTCGAACATGCCGAGTGCAGCGTCTCAGTTGTATCACAGCTCTTTCCTTTCTATATTACTTGGTAGTGGATTGTCACTGCCGCACTCTCAGCGCTGCTTTGCATTCTCTGAAGAACAGGCCAAGAAGAAGAGGGTGGAGTACGGTCATTCTTTGGTCAACATGTGACTCGATGCAAGAAGACCCAGGGGCCTTTTTTACCGTCTTTATGATCCGCTTTGCAAAACGCAACGCTTGATTGGTTGAAAGAAGAACCGTCAGTTGTAACGTTGCCAGCCTTCCTCTATGTAGCAAGAGAGAAGACCAGAACGGTTGATCTTCCGAGACTTGAAATCTTCAAAAGCGAAATAAATATCTGAAGTGAGGTACTTAGACGGAGAGAGAACGAGGTGACGATAATTTATAGCAGG